GAACTAAATTGGAAATGCCCTGGAAGAAAAACCCCTCAGAAAGCAGAAGATATACCAAAAGTTGAGATGCCGACAAAAGAGCAGTAAATTTAGAAAATCTTTCTGTGAATATTTTAAATTATTAATTTTTTTTCTTGTAGGCAACACTCAAAAAATATGGAATTTGATTTTGAAGATGAACTTCCTGAGCCTTCAACAACAAAATTTGGTACTCCTAATAGAACACCTAAAGCTACATCAGCGTCGAAAAAGAAAACAACAACATTCAGTCAAATCATGGATAAAATGAAGAAAAGTCATGGAACTCCAAAATAATATTTATTTGGACTTTTTTTATTGATAATGTTCATTCCGAAATATTTTGTAATATTTTATAAAAATGAAAAACATCAAAATGTATTGAATGAAGTCTTTTTAAACTTCTGTGAATTTAAACTTCAAATCACCATCAGGAATGTTAACCATAACACTTCTGATTTTCATATCTGGATAATGCCACTCAACTTTATAGTCACGGATGATTCTTGTCAAAAGCACTTCAATTTCTAATTCAGCAATTCTGTGTCCAACTTTGAAAAGTAAAAAAAGTGGATTAAATAAATGATTTCAAATTTTGTTTATAAATTTTTCCTACCACATTTTCTTGGGCCAAATCCAAAAGGAAGAAAACTAAATGGATGAGAATTCCGAGAATGTGGACATTGTGGATCAGTATTGTCTTTAAGCCAACGTTCCGGTATAAATTCTTTTGGTCGAGGAAAGAGTTTCTCATCATAATGCGCAAGAGTTGTTCCCATAACCACTTGTGTTTCTTTAGGTACACGATATCCACTTAATACAATGTCACTTCCAGCAGCACGCATGTTTCCTGCAGTTGGAGGATAAAGACGAAGACCTTCCTTAATTACTCCTCGAAGGTAAGGCATACTTTGCATATTTTCAGGCGTTAATTTATAATTTTTTTCCGGCAATATGTTTCTTAATTCTTCTCTGAGCTTTTCCTGCTTGTCTTGATTCTTTGCCAAACAATACAGAATGCCGATGAAAGCTGAAGATGTTGTATCAACCCCAGCAAGCATGGAGTCAGCACACATAACAACAGCAACTTTCTTGTTTATTTTAACAAGTTTTTCGAGAATACTTTCTTCATGACCCCCTCCTGGTGGTTTTGTTTTAATGTCTTCAATCGATTTCTCTACATAATACAGTATGATGCTGTTTAAAAATAAATAATAAATTTAATTACATAAATTTCACTCTTTCTCGTCTCTCACTCTGTCATGCCATCATAAACATCCATCAGTTTTTTGAAACCTTTCGTCTCGTAATATTTCCATATTGATGCACTAACTTCAAAGTCAATGGTCAATACAAAAAATTGCCTTATCAGCTAAAAATAGCAAAAAAAAACAAACACTTGAACTACTTCATAGATTGATCCAGTCACTTATCTTCGCACCTTTATCAGTTTTTCAGCATTCTCGTCATGATAATTTTGATTTAAAATTCCTAGTCGTCGATTTAATGTGATACATGTAATCGATTCCATACTCCACATGTTAGCATAGTCGCTGAATTGTGCTGGAACTTCATTGTTTTCATCTCGTTTTTTAACAATCCTTTAAAATGTAATTCACATTGAATATTATGTCAAATTTAATATTTTTAACCAACGTACATTTCAACAAATTCCTTGGCAATTTCTTCAACCTGTGGGATGTATTGTTTGACGGTAGCTGGTTTTAACAAAACTGGATTCACTAACGTTCTTGTTCTATGCCATTTTTCATGCTGCCTTATTTGAAATCGAACTTTTCAATTTTCTTGATTAGAAATTAAAATTTTAATGAATCTCACCCTTGAAATAAACTTGCATACTCGCTGTAAATTTCAGGTCGAATCGTTTTCCGATAATGTTCAAGTGTCTCTAGAATACGACGGAATGGATATTGCCCCTCAAACCTAAACAACATCTCCGAATCTTCCACGTTAAAAATCATTAACATTTCTGGTCGGCCCAAGACACTGGGAAACTTTACAATGTCTCCATATTCAATTCTCATCAAGCTATAAGAAAAGATTTTTGATTGTAATAAAATGTTTTAATTAAACTGAACATTGAAGTCACCGGTGCATTTCAGTGAAAGATTTTTTGTAATATTTTCCACCGGGTAAAAATCTTCTCGTCAATTGAAACTTTGATAATGCAGGAATATCTTCATAAGGCTTTGCATCTTTCCATTCGTTTTGAATCTTATAATCAACTGCATGTTGTGCCTTTGTTGCAACCATTCGAACTTGGTCAATTGAACCTCGTCCAAACAGTAATAAATTGTTTGCAATAATCTTCAACATTTCGCACTAAGAATAGAAAAACTGATTGTCGCTGGAAAGATTTACTGAAAACTGTCGATTGATGAATGAAAATGAAATTTTAGGCTGTTTAATGCTCGTGTTATAAACTTATCGCCACTTCACTTACAGAAATACATTCAAACTTTGATTGATATGAAATAGTTGATAAATAAATTAAAACTTTTATAAGCTTTAGTCAGAGTATGGAAATGGCTGTCGACATTGTGAAAATTATTAAAACTATTTATTGGCGGTTTATATTTTTATTCGACAAATAGGTTGATATTTAACATTTGCTTATGATCAACTTAACTTATTTTTAATTATGTTTCAGGAACTAGATAAAAGAATGAAAGAAGTTAAATGGTGAAATATGAATGTAAAATTTGTTGNAAATTTTCTCATTAGTTGATCCATAAGATTTCACCAATGATCTTCTCAGCTCGTTCATAAGCCTAGGATTCATAAGCTTATGATCAACTTAACTTATTTTTAATTATGTTTCAGGAACTAGATAAAAGAATGAAAGAAGTTAAATGGTGAAATATGAATGTAAAATTTGTTGTTCCAAAAGTGTTTTTGCTTTTCAAATTTTCTCATTAGTTGATCCATAAGATTTCACCAATGATCTTCTCAGCTCGTTCATAAGCCTAGGAGATTGTAAACAAAATTTTAATTATAATAAAAGTCGATGAAAATGAGTTACATGTCACGTAAAGTGTCAGAATCGTAGCTTATTGCTTTTAAATTAATAATTAAATAAAGTTAATTTCTCAAACTTACCTCCAATTTCTTTTCAATGTTTTTACGTTTTGATTTTATGTCTTCTGGTTCTTCCATAAAATCGTACGAGCCATTCGTTGATGCAAGAATTTCTGTTGGAATATTCTTCAATTCTTTATGGACTGTGTTAACGAGGCCAAAAATGATATTTTTTGGAACTAAGTCTTGAATTTGCTTTCGAACGATGGAAAAGTAATTCGTAACGAGTTCTTTGAGGATCATGTAATTTTTTTTTTCAGATTCGGTTAATTTGTCATTTTTGTTTTCACCTTTTATAAGTACATTGTAAATGACCAAAAGTTTCTGTCCCATTTCGTCTGGGCGTAAATTTTCCTCGTTTTCAGTTTTCATGAATGAAATTTTATCAAAGTCAGGATGTTCAAAATTGATGTAAGCTAATTGCCGGTTAATTTCAAACTCAATCCAATTTCTGACTTCACACAAGCATTTTTCAATGAGCTTATGAGTTGCGGCAAACAGTTTTTCATATAATATGGGAAATCGATCAAGATAAATTTGTGATTCTGTTCCCAATTTATTGACATTTGATTTCATTTCATCAGAAACTTTTTCTGCGCAATCTAACGAAGGCCCACGAAGTTCTTCTATAAAGTGACTGACGTATTCCTCAAAATATTTATCAAAATATGGCAACTTGAAAAGCTTTGGTCTTATGCTTTTTTCAAGAATACTTTTGATGTCTGATGATTTAGATATTTCATCTATGTTGGGAATTATTTCGAGTAAGTTTTCGCTAAAATCTTCATGAATAATTCTATAAATTTTAATGTTTGAGTTAGAACTGCCTTCTATAACTTTCCGATAATAGTTTACAAATTCATTGACGATGTCGTAGAAAGTTGCTGTCTTATCAATGATTTCAGCTCCATATAATTCGAGTTCCTTCTTTTGTGTCAATTTCCCCTGTTTTATGCGTTTACGCAAATCTGGCAAAGTTTTCTTAATATGACTGATTAAGATTCGACTGAGTTTACTAGCAAGATATGTCGTTCCACTTTTTTTAGCCAATTTCGGATAATTCTCTTCAAAGAATTCACTTTCACTCTTAAGTTGATCATCAATTCCTTTCTTATCGATGATGTCTTGCTGTGAGCGATTGACAACTCCAATTATTCCCAATTTGACTTCGTAGACATTGCCGCTTAAAATATCATAGGCATCCGTGCCTTTATCCATTAAGTCCAACTTTGTTAAGACTGCCACGGTTCGTTCACCATTTTTGTCGACTTGCTTAGCAAACTTTAAAGCTTCGCTTGTGGCAATGTCAGTGTTTGCTGCAGTCACAGCTAGAACTATTGAATTAGGATTGTCGATGTAATTCATCACCATGTTTTTAATTTGATCTTCGATGTCTTCCGGCTGATCACCAACTGCAACTTTTGTGAAACCAGGCAAATCGACTAATGTTAAGTTAACCACACGTGGCGAATAAACTTTTAAACTGATAGGCTCGTCGGAAATTCCTTTATCTTTACCAGCAACAATATCAGTTTGACGTTCAATTTCTTTGCAGACGTCAGAATAATTTGTGAATTTCTTTTCAGGATTATGAAGAAATTCTATCCATTCGTCAGATAACTCATCTAATTAGAGTATAACAACAATAATTTTTTAATAAAACAAAATAAAAGATCAGAACTTACCCTCGTCTTCATCTACTTCATCTTCTTGATCTGAAAATTCCTCTAAAATGTTAAAGTATCTCAAAAAAATATTTACTTATTTCTAATATTGTGTTTTAACTAACCTTCTAACCAATTACCTACGTCATTGTCATCAGTTGGTGCAATGCCTTCATGAAATGAAAATTTATTATTAGAATTATCCATGTTTTTACTGAATTGTCTCAATTTTTTCGAAAACATACGGAAGATCTCTTCGCTTGACTCGCATTTCACATTTTTAATTTCTTCTTGTTTGATAAGTTGCAAAATTAAAGGTCGACGTGTTACAATTCCTGTTCCACGAGGCAAAAAAGATCGTCCAACAATAGATTCAATCACAGATGATTTGCCAGCACTCTAATGATGCGATAGTCAAAAAGTTTTAGGTTAAATCACATTGAAATTCAGGCGGGAATTTCTTAATAAAAAAAGGCAAGCTTACCTGTGATCCAATAACCACGATTTGTGGCAAATGAATTTCATTAGATGTATCGGTATAGACGTTGCTTAAAGCGTCTTGCAATTTATTGACAACAGAAATAAATTCATTCATTCTTGTTTGAAAAATTTCTCTTTAGGGATTAGATTTATCCTCACAAATTAATTTGATGTTATTTTGAATTGTTAATTTCTCCAATTTGATAGTTTATGACTTTTTAATGCACGTGATACTTGAACAGAAAAATCGGTCTTGCCTTCTTGAGAACTCACTTCATACTGAAAGAGTAGTTTGACTGAAAACAAAATTATGCATTCTCAGGGCTTTTTGGTCGACATTTTCTAGTTCCCAAACAGAAAGTGAACACAGTCCACCTAACAAACCCCTGACCTTCACACCATCAAACGAAATCTAATGTCACATTGTGCATCAAATTCTAAGAACTCGCCAAAAGAACCCGTTAAATAGTGATAAAACAATTTTTTTTTATTTATATTTTTAGCTTTATTTTTTCCTTCCAATATTCTTTACAAACAAAGAAACAATCTCTCGATTTTTGTTTTCATCTAATTTATTAACCTTCTATTAGATTTTTATCCAATTTTATGTTTAGATAAGAAAATCAACTGATTTATCCAAATTTCTCTTCATGTTTCAAAAGAAATATCCATTTAGGTTTATTAAAATATGACAAATGATTAAAGCATTAAGAAGAAGGAAGAGGTAAGAAAACTTAAGCTAAACAGAATTCCTTTAGTGTAGATATTTACATAATAAAATGATAAAATTTTTAAACTTTATTTGATGCAACTAAATGCATGTAAGTATAACGTTTTACCTATACATGCAGTTCTTGATCTACAATCTTATCAAGTTTAGATTTTATTTCAACAATTAATCTTTTTTTCATCTTTATGCTTTAAATATTTAGTTTGATCTTCAATTCTTAAATAGTATGAAAACTTGTTTGTCTTCTTAGAATCTTACAGATTTAATTCATTTCTTTTACTTTTTTCCTTAATCTGTGATTTAATTAATGAATGTGAGTTGTTAAATTTGTGAAATAAATTCTAGCCAAATTATTAGTCTTCAAATTTGGTTTTCTTACCAGCTTACATATTAAATTTTGTTTTAAAAAAAGTTTTTCATTTTAAAATTCATCTAAACTATCGATAGTCGTTATTAAATATCTTCGGGAAAGTTTAAGGAATACTTTAAAGAATTACTTTTAATATTATTATGCTTTCTTAATGTTTCTTTCGCATTCGTCGCCGTTTTTTCAATGTAGAAGGAAAACGCAGTCAAGGAAATTAAAAGTAAAAAGTTTTTATGTTTTTCATAGGTAGATCATTAATTTTCATTAAAAAGTCTTTAAAAGGTAAAAATAGGGAAATGTAATGTAGCAAATATTCATGTAAGAGGCTTTCAAGATAGTCGTGTAAAATAGATTGTGGGTAGGTGGAGACATCATTGTCTTTTGGAATATAAACACGTCCCAATCTTAGAATTGATTACATTCTATTTACAATTTACTATTTAAGTTAAATATCTACAAAAAGATATTCTCATTATAAGATTTCTTCATTATGGCACACTTTCAATGTAATTCTTAGATTTTCGTCTTCATCTTTTTTCAAATCTGATTCACGCGAAATGAAGAGAAATAAGTCTCAATATTTTTACGGTCTAGAAAGTCAAAAGTTCTAAGAAAAGCAATAAAATCTTTTGTAGCATAAACAACGTGACATTGCATTGAGAAATCATTTCTTTGGTTTGTTGAATACAACGAATTCATTATGTATTGACATCCACCAGAACTAATTCCAATTTTCTCGATCTCACAAATCATTGTATTTTAATATTTCCATAACTTAACTAAATTGTGTTTCTTTCATGTGTCAAATCACTGGAGAATCTTTTTTCTTCTCAAATTACAAAATATTTGTATAAAAATCTGAAGTCAAATTTATAGTCGAGTAATAATTATGAATTTTGTAAATAATGAGTTCGAAATACTTTTTAGAAGACTGAAAATCTTAAACTTCCATGGCATTTTTAAAATTTTTTTGATGTTGCTTTTTCTCTCGTTAGTACGACTCATTTAAACTTATAATACAATTCTGTGCATTTCTACTTTTAATATCTTTTAAATGTTTATATCTCTTTCTATGTAGATATCTTGCAAGTTGCAATGAACGATGACAATTTAAATGTTTGTAGATAAGATCCCTGATCAGAAAATTTCTTTTATTTAAATGTTCGCTTTGTAGAATTCTTAACTAGATAAGAACATTTTTAAAAGCAAATCCTTGCTCATTGTGAATTTGTATGTTTCAAGAAGTTTTAATCAGATTCATTTATGCTCTCTTCAAACATTCATTTTTTTCTTTACTTATTCAAGAGCAAGAACATTCTTAATTAAATAGTTAAACTTAAATTCCATAATCACTCTTATTAATCTTTCGATACTTTGTAATCATCATTTCTTCATTCATTATTTTATTTCATTACAAATAAAACGAATAATTATTTAACATTTTTTTCTTCATTTTCATTTCTTAATTTCAATATTTTCTTTCACTTATTTCATCTGCAATCTAATAAAATGCTCAACTTTCAAGTTTATTTTATGTGTGTGGGTGGATAAAAATTGACGAGAAACATTACTTTCATCTGTTTTCTTTTTCTTTTTTGTCTACTCTAAGGCTCGTCTTGCTTCTCAAATCGCAATCTGAACTCTTACTTAACTTCAATAAATTTATAATCTACGTATTGAGTTTTAATTTTACTTTTCTTTTTTTATTTTTAAATTCCATTTTCGTATTTATTTATTTATTCACTAACGGGAGACGAGAATGGGATAATTTTTTCAATTTTGATTTCATTTTGTTATCATCTTTGAAATGAAACAAAATATTTGAAAGGGAATAAATGAAGAAGGAAAAGAGAAAGAAGTTATGAGATCATATTTCGTCAGTAGAGGGAAAAGTTAAAGTTAGGTTTATGCATCGCGGATTATTTCCGACGATGCTTTCTTCTTCGCTATTCTTTTTCGAAGTTATACATGTAAGACAACAAGATCTTTAGTAGTTAAAGCTCAGTCGCTGAATAATTTTCAAATCTTGGGTGTGATGCATCACGTGAACTTCTTTGTAGTGACTTACTTGAATCCGCCTTTCTATTGCTTCTTGTGTTCGTTCCTTGCGTTGTGTACGACGGCGTGGGATGATGATGATGATGTGGCAACGTCTGGAAGTTCGGATGTTGCTGTTGTTGCATTTGCTTTGACGATGATGATCGATATTGATGACTATCATCAAAAGACCGTCCACTACTTCTTTCTCTTGATCTTTCACGTTCATAACTTCTTGATGGATAATTCTGTTGCTGTTGTTGCATCTGATATTGTTGATTATAGCTATGACTGGAAGGTTTTTGCTGTTGCATCTGTTGCTGTGAATTTCTCATCTGTTGTCGATTCTTTGGTGGTAGAATTGGTGGCGCTAAAGCTTTCACTGGTACAGATGGTCTTGACTCTCGACTTCTCTGCATTGTTGAACTAGGATAACTTGACTTTGATGTCGACGATTGTGGACGTTGCAATGAACGATAATTATTGAGATTGGCAGCAGAGAGAACTTGTGGATTATTAATTTGAGCTTGTTTCGGAATTTCTGGCAGCGGTTGATTAATAATGGAAATTGATTTTGACTGTCGCGATTCAGAAGGTTGGCGATGCGATGTTTCGATACTAAAGACGGATGGTTTTGCCATTTCATGAACTTCTTCGCGATGTTTCTTCAAAATACTTGACGTTTCAGTAAATCCAGTTCCTGGTTTCTTATAAGGGAGAGTTGTGGGTGGATATTGTTGGGTATAATCGCGTGACACTGTCGCAACATTATAACTTTGTTGTAATTCATTTGCTTGTTGTTGATAAGTTTGTTGCTGCTGCTGTTGCTGTAATTGATAAGTTTGAACTTCAAGTTGTTGATTATTCGGTTTTTGAAGGTGATGTTGTTGTAGTTGAAAATGTTGAGGTTGTGGGGGTGGTGGTTGGATGACAGGTTGAGCAATATTCTTAGGATTTGGACTGAGCGACCCTCCAAATCTTCCACCGTGTTTTAAAGTTGCACATTTATTTGGATTTGTTGAAAGGTTATTGCGGAGATTCTTCGGCCCAATACTGACATATTTTGGATCAAAACGATTGAAATTATTGCCTGAAACGTCTCTTGGATCTTTATCGCATTCGTCTTTGTCTAGAAGAATGAGAAAGTTTTGAAATTTCCCTGAATTTAAATTACAATTCCAATTACCTTTATCTGCACTCGCCGTGCAGCTCAGCGAGTCTCAGTAAAAATCATTTGATTCAAGAGTTTTGCATTGTTTGCTCAATGTCGCATACTTCCCATTATTAGGACCAGCCAAATGTGCAGAATGATGTGATGGCAATCGTCCCAAAGTTTGATGACCCGACAATCTATTAAAACGATTTTAAAATTAGATTTTGAGTAACTACGTCGAGAACATAAATATTTTATGTATGTACATAAATCACAACATAAATCTATTGACAACATTGAAATGCAATTCTGCTTTGGAATGAATTAAAAATGTGATCAGTGAGTGATCAATGAATGGAATAAACATAAAAAAGGAAACTTAGAAAGAAATAAAAATGAATTAAAAAAAATATTTAGAAGAAGATGGTGAAGAACTAGAACATTTATATTTACCCTGTCGTTTCAATAACGACAACATAACATTTCCCAGACCAAGACTAAAACTATGGACATAAAATTTGCGCATTAACCATTTTAGAAGGGAAAGACTTCGGAAAAAAGAGTGGAAAATCATAAAAAAAAACTTATAATAAAAGAAGCCATGCCTTTGTAACGAAATGTCATGCACAACGACATCATATGTGGGTGGCGGAGAGTCGCCACTATTTAGTGATTGATTTGCCAACCCTCGAGCATTTCCATTGCGTGCTCCATGTGCACCGCCGCCATGAGCTGTAAATTGTTGCGAATGCAAAAGTGTTCGATTAATTGTTGACGTTCCACTGGTGATTGGAGCTGTTGGTGACATTGATGAAGATGCTGGAAAGAGTGGAACTGTTTCTGCTTTGTCTTGATATGGACGTCTATAAAAAGAAGAAAATTTTATTTATTGTGAATTATTTTAAAACTGAATTTTCATTCCTCACCTTTTCGTCAAATAAATCCAAGTATGTGAATCAACACAGACGAGAATTGTTAAGAGAAAAGCTGTTGCAACAGTCGCGACCATCATCAATGCTAATCCAAATAATCCACCATGACAGAAGCTTCGGGAAGCGCTTGAGTAATGTGCATGAATTGCACGACTATCAAGCAATTCTGTCAGATCTAAAATGAAATTTTAAAAATTATTTTAAACAATCAAAGAAGTTTTAAACATTAAATATTTACTTGAAAGTGAATTGATACTGGAATCAAGCACTTGATGGATGTGTGCAACTCTAAGTGCAATATTTTGTGTTGGGAAGACTCTTCTTCCCATATCTTCCATCATACGAAGATTTCTTTTAGCTTCGTCAATATTTTCCTTTGAATTTGTCAAACGAATAACAAAGTGATTTGTTCCCGAAGCACCACAATTCGTTTGAAAAATGTATTGCAATCGTTGTTGCGAGCAAATGTGTTGATGTGGTGCATCACAAAAGTCAGCTATTGCTACAGATGTGCCGAGATAAACTCCTGACAGTAGCCAACAAATGGCAACTGTGAAGAGTCCAAGAACAGCGAAGAAGATGAGTAAACATCGCGAGTTTCTTGCAACGCCAATAACCAAGACCGTGCATAAGAACAAAAGGAATGTTAAGAATCCTAAAGTTGTTGGCCATCGTAATAACTCATAAAACTCATATTCATCGTTTAGTTCTTTGAGCAACAAATCAGACTGATTCGGTCGAATGAAGTAGAGAGCGGTGTCGATTCCATTAACAGCTTCCATCGTATGTGTCGTCACCATTTTTGCCGTGTCCATCATCAACGTAAGTGCAGTTGAGTTTGACACCGGCAAATCCCACAAATCATCAATGTCCAATGTCAAAGTTTTGTCCTTTAAAGTCTTCGACACGTAGTTCGTCTAAAGATATTTATGAATGAATGGAAATTAACAAACAAACTTCATGTTGTCGTTGCATAAAGTTTGAAAAGTAAATATTTAAATTACCTGATTCCTCACGTTAATGAAAAGACGATTCAATTGTTTGCCAGCATTAAAAACTTGAACTAATCCATTATGCAGGTCATCATTGCCATACAAGCCTAATAAGGGAAATAAATGAACTTTAAAATTCAAGTCGTCATGTCGGAGAAGTGAGTGAACTTACCACCGCCAATTGCTCCACAACAAAGAATTGTTATGAATATTAGTGTACATTTTTGGCATCCAAACGTTCTTTGCTTCTTCGATTTACGATCACAACATCGTGTCATTAAATAAAGAAGCAAGAAGAATAATGATAAAATGAGAATGGCTGCTGGGATCGATGCAAGAATTGTAAGACTCTAAAATTGATAAGAGAAAGAAAAAGGTCTTCAAATGATTATCTCCATCTAACAAACATCATAAATATATTTTTATAACATTCATTATCAGCTCTAAACTAGGTTTGAACCTTACAGAAAGAAAACTTTGTGTCGAATCAGGAAAAGAAACTTTTTTAGTTTCAATCAACACACAACAAACTTCGAATAAAAATGATGAAACATTTTCTTGATAATTTCTTATTAATCCTTTGATTCAAAGAAAAGATTTCTTTCGCTTTTTAATTACTAACCGGCGGTTGGAGGAAACGATTTACATTAAATTCTATTAACGTCGTATTATGCCTTACGCAATAATCAAAAATATTGAAATGAAAAAGAATTAATAATAGCTTGAGGAAAGAAGAAAAGAATTGAAATCGAAAGAAGCAACAATTATAATCGAATTACTTCAACGGATATCGATGAGAATTACGACTATGCAAATTAATTTAAATTTATGTCCAAAGTAAATTTTACTTTTTATTTGTCTCGTTTCAATGCAAATTTCATTTCCTCTCTTGATATGAAATATGAAAAAAGCAGAGAAAAGATAAAAACGAAGCGTAAATGGCAGTAATTCAATAATCATTTACGATTTCGTTTTATTTATTTATTTTATCTAAAGATGACATCATTGCATATTTTCGACATGGCAGAGACGAAGTCAAGGACGAAACTTATTTAATTCATGCAAAAAACCCGAGAGATTATTTCAAATAGACCAGGTGACAGAATACACAAAAAACGTTTCATTTGAGTGTGCGGAAAATATTTTTTTGTTTACTTTGGAATTTATAAAGAGAATTTAAGTTTATTTATTTCTATCTTGGGGTCCGACGTGAGTTTTTGACATTTTAAAATTTTCCCTTTGCCAGCGATTCTAAATGTCGAACGTGCGTGTGTGTGTCATTAAAGCATAAAACATGAAATGAAATCATGAGTGATGAGGGCCCGACACAAACTCTATCACTGCTTACAGAAAATTGTTGCATTTAAGGCAATAAAATCAACAAAAAAATTAACCAGAACATAAAATTTCATACACATGAAACAAACTGAATGTTCGTTCGACAAGAGTTATAGATATTTTTTGAAAAATTGGACTATGGATCTGCTTCGTCTTTGCTGTTCAATGTTTTAAAATTGGAAGCAAATGTTTTTCTTTCTTCTCTCTTGCTTCTTCTCTAATGTTTATTCATTCTGTTGTTATTAAAAGCAGCGCTCTTTCCTTCATATTTTGTCTTATGTGTTGAACATGAAATGACTATGTAGCTCTTGTGTTCTAGTTAACACGTGACAAAACTAGTTTGAATATGAAAAAGGTCTTGTTTTGCTATATTTATGTAAATGATAAGCATTTTTTTCCTTATGAGTCATGAGCCACAAGCGCACAATTCTAACAATGCTTTGTCGTACATCAAGAAAAGGAAATTAATCTACTTAGCCTCTTAAGATAATTTGAATCAGAATAAATGAATCAGAAATAAAAGAGAAATGCCCTCTTGAAGAAACTCAAGTCTTACATAAATCTTGAAACGTTTTGAGATGAAGAACAACTAGAATTTATTTCTTTCTTTCTTTTCTGAGATTGCGCTAACAAAAATTGTTTATGCTGATCATTTAATTTCTTTTTTTGATTTAAATAGAAATATTTTTATTATAAAGTCATCTGGATTGCTTTTCAAAAGAAATTTATTCTTATTCATTATTTCTCAGATCGAAAGAAAGAATGAAAGAATTAATGAATGAACAAATGAAAAGAGATAAGACAGCAACAGTAGTCGCATCATTTAGCTAATAATAGATGAGACATATAAAGTGAAAGATCAAAAACAATTAAAAACTGCATCAAGGTAAAAATTATTTTTAAAAGCTGGCTTAACTGTCTTGTTTTTATTTTCTAATAACTAAGTAAAGATGATAAGAACGAGTGTGTGATTCATAATTTTAACATGGTTTCTCGTTATCTTTGTTAGAAATTTTTAACGAGTTCGATAACGTGATATTTATTCTTCATTAACGTTCCATTCCGCAATTCATGAATTGAACGAAACGAAACGACTGTGGTGCAAAACATGTTGGCATCAATGAACTGCATCTTTACATCCACATATTTTTATACTCTTTTTCCATGATTTTTAGTTCTTTTCATCTCTTCTACATGCCATATTTATCGATTTTTGTCCTGTCCCATTTGTTTGTTTCGTTTGCCTCAATCGATTCATGAAATGCTTTTTTCGCATTTGTCTTTGAATAGTTTCGTTTCTTTTTTTTTCTTTCTCAGCATTTGTTTTAGAGAAACAAATACAACATGGAGCTTTTCTACTTTTTGTTTAAATGTAATTAAATAATTTCATGATTTACGTTCAACATGCAAATATTAACCGACGAGAAAGAAGAAAAATATCCATGAAGGTGTTTCTCACTTCCTGTTCAATACGGTTTGCGTAAGGCACACCAACGACGACGTGTTTATAAGTTATTTAAGTGCGTGGAACTTTTCAAGTATTTTTTCTTTATCAATTCGAATTTTTTTAATGATTCAGTTTTACTTACCTCAATGTATACATCGCTGTTGGGATTAAAGGTACTATTGACCAAATGCAATGAAACATTTATGTGAGGGATTGAGTGAAGAAGTTGATTAATACGAGATTTCTCAAAAGTTTGCATGATGTTTTTTTTTACAAAACAATTTTTTCCACTATCGCTTGATACGCAGATACACAAATCGCGAGGAGGGAAGAGAAAAACTTTTGTTGTTGTGGGAAGCTTTAAAAATTAACTTTTAGAATCATTTGCGTAATAACTTTGTGTACTGATTAGACTAAAAACTATTCACTGCCGATGTTCCTCGATTCTAAATAGATCACTACTATTTTAATTTATGGAATAAATGATGGCTTTGCTTTCTTTCACAATTCTTTTCAGAAGTAATATTTTTTTCACTTTTAACACACCCAAAATATAAAACTTCTATTTATGGCTTTAAACACAATCCAGCTACTTGCTTTCACTATTCCATGACCATTTATCTATGACTCTTCATATTCCGACAGTTTTTAAACTCACAGGCTTGCTTTTTGAATGCAATAATACGAATTTTAATTTTGTCTTTTTACAGACCAGATTTCTGGTGTTTGGGCAACGAGCGAGTGAGCAATAGCGTTGTTTGTAAGTTCAGTCACAAAAGTGAGCAATTGAGAGTTTTAAGGGGCCTCGCAAAGTCGCAAACTTGTTTTGCTAGCAGAAATGATTCATGTAAATTTACATGTCCTATTTAGCAATAGAAATATCCAGAACAATATTTTATTATGAGGAGGAACTGAAGATGACAACGCAACTTTATGAAACAGTTTTTTTTTGTATGATCTGATAGTAATTTCAAACTTTATTCAGTACATAATAGTTTCAAGGGAATGGAATTGTAAATAACAGTGTAAATATGAATTTATCAAACATTAAGCGACAAATTAATTGAATTAATGAATTGGACCAAAAACTTTTTTTGTATATAAGCGAAACACTCGACCAGGTTTTTAAGGAGACTTATGAAATAGCACACTTATTCTTATCATGACTTGAAGATGCACTGTCTCCGACAGTTATTGGACTTTGATGATTATCTTGCATAGATGCTGCTATTGCGCGAGCTAAAGCTTCATCTTCACTCATTGTTCCTTGAACACTTTTGAAGACTTCATGATTGTTGTTTTGATTTCCTTGAACCCTACGTAAAGCTGCTTGACTGAAATTGTAAATAAAATTAATTTTTAACTTTTGTTTTCGAATTCTATCACTTACGCCAACATTTCTCGTTGGGCATGAGATTTTCCTTTGCATTGATGGACATCAGCATGTCGATGTTTCAAACAGAAATTTTGTCTGCAAGTACTACAATTAAATGGAACAAGCTCTCGCTTTTTACACTTTCCAAATGTACAACTATTGGTGTAGATTTTTGTTTGCTGTTTACAATAACTGTCAATATGCTCGCTCACAGCTCTATCTTCTTGTCCTTTTACACATGACACAGGCTTCATACACAAAGGGCATATCGGAACTTGATTATCTTTTTTATTTGCGTTAGGACAATCGTGTTGGATGTAGGAATAATGTTCGGAGCTTAAATTATAAAAAAAATATTTTATCAAAATGACCATTCTTTATAAAGAATAAAGATATAAATGTCCTTTGAAGGATATTTCATCATCTTACCAGAAAATATCATCACAGCCATCGCATGAAATAGGTAAGAAATCTGGAACAATCAAGAAGTTTCTTTGTAAATGACTTGCAAAACTAAAAATCATTTAAACTCACCTAATTTGTTACAATATTGTTTACTACAATGTTTTCCAAGATGTGGAAACTCCATATTTATAATAATTGAAAATAATGTCTTACTATCTCAAAGGGTAAATCAGAAATAAATTTTATTTAATCAAAATGTTGACTTTTTGTTTAAAAAATTTTTTGGAACTTGCTCAATGAGCTTGTTCAGAAACTTTTTCAGATTTAGTTTGTTTGGCAATCAAAACACTTTAAATTCCCCTTGTTCTCCGGATAAAACAGTTCTTCGGATAATCAATTTTTTGTTCGCTATTTTTTATCTCTCCCGTATTTATTTCTATTTTACCTGGAAAATAGATTAATTTTTGAGCAAAAGTTAATATCAAAGCAGTTCTTAAACGTTTAAGATTGATATTGTTATAAACCGAAGTGAAAATTTATATAAATTGAATCAAAATTTTAACAAAATTGATTTGGGAGTGGTTTTTTTTCTTGTTCGATTACACGCATTATTACATTTTCTACCTTGTTGTTATCAGTTAAACTTTGTTATTCGTGGTGATAACAGTGGGAAATAATTGATCCTGATCCATTGGATAATTTATTTGAAGAGGTAAGCGCAGTTGAACTTTTCCATACACTTTTTTTTATTCCGCTTCGAACTCATTCTCAATACATTCAAACGTCAACATTTAAATAGCAAAATTTTATGCTCTTCAACTATGAACCATACACAATAAACAACAGCCAGTTTCACTAAATTAGAATGTGATCATTCCCGAAAAATCACGGCGGATTGTCACACCTGTTGATTTTTCTTCAAATTGTGACCTCAAAAAGCATTTGTTTCAATTCAAGAAGAAATTCAAGATTTTATTGCATAAATTTACGAATTAAGAAATGAATTCTGAAATCCAGATTTCTCACAAGAAGAAGTCTTTCTTTTTATGTCTTCTTCTCCTTCTGTACACCTTCGAAATGTTTTTTCTTCCTAAGAAATGAATTTGTAAGAGCGAGATGCAAAAACAATTCGTCAGGTAAAAGAAATGTGCAAATTTTTATTTTATTTATTCTTGAATAGAAACAAAAATTTCATCTTGAGCAATCTGGAATATTTTATTCAAAGATTTCTTGTTTTGATATTGATATCTTAATGGAGCATTCCATAAAGCTGAATTTTTAATAAACAAAATCGTCTCACGCATTCGAAGGTCGTTTTTAAATTCTGTGTCGTTCTCACAAACATGCATAGTGCACAATTGTGCAAGCATGCATAACATTGAAATAAAACAGAGCCATGCTTCTTTATATTTACACCACTTACATATATGTCGATCTAATGAAATTTTATTGTTTATTTTTTTTCTTCATTACAGAAAAAACAACTCTGCACTCTTTGTCATTCAATTCTCTTGAGAATGCATTAAAGTTTGACTTCATCATAGATTAATTAACGATTTTTTGTGCTTAAAATAACAGTCATCATGTTAAAGTTTATTCGATCGAAAGGAAATCAACAGCCATCCGCTGAACGTCAAAAATTACAAAAGGAATTGTATGCATTTAGAAAGGTAAGTGAGTCAACTCAATAAATAATAATTTGCCACATAAATAAAAGAGCGATAGGAGAATGAAAAAGTTTACACGTTTGCATTACAAATCGTTGTTTGATTTATTTATTTAGAAAACACCATAATTTCTTATCAGCTGAAAGCACCGAAAGTAATTCTTTTTTCTTCTTTGATTTTCAATGAAAACTGCTCGAAGGTGCTACAAGGTGTGCTTGAAGCACTTTTTTCATAAATATTCTCCTCGTTTTATTTATTGTTTCTTTCTCAATTTTTATATTTTAGGTGTAACAAGTTTTTCTTGTCGCTTCTATTTATCACAAAGTTGTTTAAGTGAGTTTTCGGAAAAACTTAGATAAGATGTTTATGAGTTATGTCATATGTTGATAAGCATTTGTTAGTTGACATGAAGCACTGAAGAGTACGCGTTAAATGAAGCTAACGAATAATTTATTTTCGAAACTATCATGCCTTCAATGCACACGAACGTTCAATAAAATGAATTAAATATCAAATGCAAAAGTTTTCTGTTATCTCTTATCGTTTTATCTTTTTTTGTTCGTTTAAAGTTAAACATGATTTCATTGCGTAAAAACTCCACGTAAATGTGAATACAAAACTTGAGTTTTTTTTCTTCCAACTAAATCAGTTTTCTACTTCAGATAAGAATTCTTACGATGTTATCGTTAGACAACGCCTTACTCATTAAATATTAAATCTTGCAATGTTTAATGAGTAATCATAACATTTTGGTACAATGCCAACACAAATTCCCATTCAAAATCAAAGAAGGTGCACATTGAAACAAAACCAGATATCTGACTCAAACTTGAACAAAGATATCAATTTAATATTTTCAATCATGTCATATTGCGTAACATGATATCGAGTCAAAGTATTGATGTGAGGAAAGATTTTAAATATATGAAAATTAATATCGAGAAGTCTTACAAAGTACGAAAAGAAAAAAGCGCGTCGTCGTTGTGACTACTTTGATATTGACTGAATGACTCATCATGTAAGTGACTAATCAACATTTCTTGTCTTTTTTCATAAAACAAATTGTAGACTGTCCAACATGGATTCCCACACAAACCATCATCATTGGCATATGATCCGGTGTTGAATTTAATGGCGATTGGTACAACAACCGGCGTTATAAAAGTCTTTGGACAACCAGGCGTTGAATTTTATGGACAAACAACGCCAATCATTACATCAACAAATCCCACGCCAACTGATTGTTTGGTTCAAATATTGGAATTCATTCCTGGAAACGGTCGATTATTATCGCTGACATCAAATAATCAACTTACATTATGGGAGCCGGCTGGCAATTTACTTGTTGCAATCAAAACTCTTGCTTTGGAGAAGTTCAAGAAAGTGTCAACATTGTGCTGTTCTTTTCTCAAAGATCTTCTTTGGATTGGAACGGAAGGTGGAAATGTTTATCAATTTGATTTAAAGACATTTCAAATTAAGGAATCGACAATTTATCACGATACTGTTTTTGATAAACTTCCACCAAGTTATAAATTAAATCCTGGAGCGATTGAAGCTGTTAAGCAACGTCCAAACAATCCACAACAATTGTTGATTGCCTACAATCGTGGATTGGCAGTTTTATATGATTTGGAGAAGAACGACGTCATTCAATCTTATGTGTCACCAGGACATGGCATGAGTGTTGGCATTGACATTAATGCTGATGGTGAGACATTCACTTGGTACCATGCTGACGGTTCTTATGCGACTTGGGATGTGAATGGAAAGAATGAACCGGAAAATCAAAAGTACGTTCCTTACGGTCCCGACCCTTGCAAAGCTATCGATCGTCTTGTTCGAGGCTTTCGTGGCAATGACGAGTTAGTTGTGTTCTCAGGTGGAATGCCACGATCAGCTTATGGTGATCATCAATGTGTTTCTGTTCATTGCAAAGATGGAACGAAAGTTGCATTCGATTTCACATCGAAGGTCATTGACTTCTTCGTGACATTTCATACATCAATTGATGAGTTGGTGGAGAAGCCACAAGCTGAAGTGTTGATTGTTCTATTAGAAGAAGAGCTCGTTGCTTATGATTTAACACAAAAATCACTTCCACCTGTTAATGCGCCTTATCTTCATTCACTTCATGCTTCAGCCGTCACATGCAATCATTTAGTGTCACAAGTCACTGCTGAGGTTTATGATAAGATTGTCCAAGCCGGGATTCATCAATATGCTAAATATAGCGACATTGAATGGCCAATAAACGGTGGCGAAGTTCCTGAGAGAGAAAATGATTCCGGCGTCACTGAATATGACATTTTATTGACCGGTCATGAAGATGGATCAGTGAAGTTCTGGAATTGTTCGGATGTTTGTTTGATTCCTTTGTTGCATGTGAAAACCGCGCAATTGTTTGGCAATAGTGACGATTTGGATCATCCAAGAGATGACGATGAACCGCTTGATGATTCCGAGCCCCCTTTTAGAAAAGCTGGACAATTCGATCCATATTCAGATGATCCTCGTTTAGCAGTGAAGAAAATTGCTTTATGTCCTAAAACTGGTGTTTTAATAATCGCTGGAACAGCTGGAAATATTGTAGTTGCAACATTAGAAGAGTTGCCAGTGACAAACTCAGATGGTGTTCGAACAACAACAATGGACTTAGTTGGTGAACATTTGGGCTTTGTCTGGAAGGGACACGACCCATTAAAAGTGAAACAAACTTTACTTGAGCAGAGTCAACCTTTGACTGATGGTGTTGAAGTATTAGGCGTGTTGCAAGTTAAACCGCCAGCAGCTATAACTTGTATTGCTTTGCAAACAAAATGGGGATTGTTGTCAGCTGGAACTGCTCATGGTTTAGTCCTTTATGATTTTAAAAACAATCGACCGGTTCTACATAAATGTACATTAAATCCGCATGACTTGACTGGAGCTGGCGAGCCAATTTCAAGACGAAAATCATTCAAAAAGTCGTTGCGTGAATCTTTCAGACGTTTGCGTAAAGGAAGATCAACAAGAAATAATCAACCAGCAATTCCAGCTGAAACTCGTCCAGTTGAACGTCAAATTGAAGCAAGAGCTGTCGATGACGGAATGGGATCAATGATTCGTTGTTTGACTTTCGCACAAACTTACATTACAAATGGTAAGAGAATTGAAAGAAAAAGTTTGCAAATTCTTTTAATTTTTTTTTCATTCCTTCAGCTCATGCAACGATTCCATCCTTATGGTCGGGTACAAATTCATCATTGGTCTCAATCTTTGTTCTTCACATTCCACAACGAACAGGAACAACACCTGATGAGTCGCCAAAGCCAATCATTGGTCAACTTGCTAAAGAAATTCAAATTAAACATCGAGCTCCTGTCATTTCCATCGCTTTGTTTGATGCTGTAAGGAAGAAGAAAGTTTTTCTTTATCCAATTTAATTAATTTTTGTTTCATTTATCAGATGAACGTTCCATTAGATTTTCAAGATGGTCCTGGTGTTGGTCCACATAAAGTTGTGATTGCTTCCGAAGAGCAATTTAAGCTTTTCTCGCTTCCACAATTAAAGCCAGTCAATAAATATAAATTGACAGCACACGAAGGAGCTCGGTAAAGATAAAGACCAAAGAAATGATGAACAAATATAATGAAATGAAATTCTTTTAGTGTACGTCGAATGCAATTTGCTGCTTTTACTTGCACAAAAACGCCAGAAATGCTACAAATAAGTCCATCGAAAAATCAACGACCTGCTTCACCTTTAGCAGCTCCTCCACCGCCACCACAATCAGCAAACGATTCAGGAGAAAGTGCACCTGAAGCTGAACTTTACAAGGAATATGCACTTTTGTGCTTGACTAATTTAGGCGATTGCTTGATTTTATCCATTCCAGAACTTAAACGTCAAATGAATGCAGCAGCAATTCGACGTGAAGATATCAAGTAAGTCATGTTAATTAAAGCAAAATTTAGTTGAGACTAATTAAAATGTTTATTTCTTTAATTAGCGGAATATCTTCACTTTGCTTTACAAATCATGGTGAAGCACTTTACATGATGTCATCGTCGGAGGTACAACGAATCACTGTTTCAGGTAAAAAGATTGTGTCGCCGAATGGATCGATAGATTTGGAAGAATGGGATGATGATGATGACGATGACGATGATGAAAGTGAGAAGGCAAATGGAAATAAAACAGAAGGTGATGAAAATACAACGATGGAAGCAACAACACCAATAAGTGCTGCAAATAGTGACGCTGCTGTTAATAATAAAGGTAAAAGAATTGACAACTCGATAGAAATTACCAAATTATCTTTAAATTACATTTGCAGGTCTCACAAATGGCGTTGAAACATCACCAACTAGCAACTTTGCTAATGAAACCATCACAAGCTCCATTGGGTCTGTCGGTGACATTACAATCGACTCAGTTCGTGATCATTTGAATTCGACAGTCACAACGCTTTGCTCACAAACCACCGAAGAAGTTATTGGGCGCTTATCAGTTTTGAGTACAACGACAAACAATACAGCGACGAGTTTACATCCGAAGGAAATTTTAGATGTGAAAACATTGAAAGATTCTGTCGGAGAGACAAATGAAACGCATCAGAATTCAGTGATTGTGAAGTCTGTGATTACAACGATTTCACATGGTGCTGGTGCAACAAATGGCGATGCTGATAAAACGACAACAACGACGATTACTAGAAAGGAGAGTCAGTTTTAAACATTTCTGACGAACGATGACGATAAATTAAATATTTCTTTGAAATGATTAGCATTTACTTAACATCACTTTTTTTCCTGTTATGACTTAACAAATCATTTTTAAATTTAATAATCTATTGAATTTTTATTTAATATTACAAGATTTTTTTTAAAAGATGATTTTATTTCCTTCACTATGAAGAGAAACGCGAATTAATATATTTTCTGCTTTCATTTTAAGTTTAAGATGACTTTTATAAGTATTAAAGTATAAAGAAAAGTATTATGTAGTTTTCCTTCTTTTTCATCAATCAATTATTAGAGCTTAAAAATAATAATATTACTAATGATGCAGCAGAATATTTAATAAATTGCCTTTGCATTTTGCCTTTTGCATTAAAACATAGAAGAATACAAAATAATGAAACTTTCAAGTGCACTTTGAATGAAGAAAAATTTTAATTTTCTATACGACAAAGAGAAATTTAATTTGATTTTAAAAGATAAAAAACAAAAATATTTCAATGACTAGATTTGTACTTTTGATTCATGAATTTGTAATTTTTGGAGAATAAAAGTTGAAAGAATTTAAATATTTAAACATTTGACTTTTAATCTAACTTGATTCTTAATCCCCGAATTTAACCTCGATAAAAATTTAAACCAGATTAACGACCCGGATTAACTTTTTCTTGAGATTAAAATGTTCGTTGTTGGTTTTATGCTTCCCGAGTTAAAATGAAACATTTGAAGTAATAACAATGCATCATTCCTTTCTTTTTCTTCAAGTTATGAAGAATCAAGGTAGAAGCATAATAAAAAAAAGTCTTATTGGGTAAAAAAATCCTTCCTTGCATTTCATAGGTCATGAAGTCTCTTAAAGAGACTCTCTTTCATGTTGATTTTTTTCTTTCTTCTTACGTAGAAAGAAATTTTAAAGAAGGATCGAATGAAAGAAGACACAAAAAAGCGAAAATACCAACAATGAAATCGTTGAAGATATTTTCTCTCGAACATTTATTTCTCACAGTTTCTAAAGAAGCTGAAAATATAAAAAAACGAAGAAAAAGAAATAAAAAGTCACAAAGAATTAATTTTTCTACATTCATCATTACGATTTGATTTATTGATTTCATCTCTTATTTGCTAATATTTTAATGTATCACAGGGACAACATGATACTTTTTATGAATTTAAAATGAAAGATTTCATATCACAAATGAAGAAAACTTAAAAGTGGGAAAAAATAATTAATTAAACATTTGAAAGTCTTTCTTCCTGATTTTTCCTAATTAATTAAAGCTTCTTTACGCGATATCATAAAACAAAAATCTAAAAACTTGAAGCGTTTGCAAAGAAACAAACAAACATAAAAAACTTTGAGATCGAATTATTCAGTTATTTTGAGTTTTCCTAGATTTTTCTTTTTGGTTCACTTGGGGATGTGTCGATTAATCGATAATTCAAATACTTAAAATGTAATCTTCTTATAATCTAATTTGATATTAAAGCTTTTCTCGTACTGTGTTGATCGACATTCCTTCATCTAACTATTGCAATCATCAACCAATTTAGAATGGTCGCCAAACCGATGACGGTGCAGTCTTTACGCCGATGTATTGCGCTTTCATTTGCGGTTGCGCAAAGTTGATGACTTTCAATAAACCATAGTCGGTTGTTGTCGGAGCTGGCGACGAACGATAATCAATGGGTTGTGGTGAAGATGACTGACTGCATCGCGATGACATTGGAGTCAATGGCTCATAACTTTCATGTGTGGGTGTTGGTGTTCGCAATGTAGTTTGATGTTGTTGAGTAGTCATAATGACGCTAACACCATTCTCGCGACTGCTGCTATATCCAGATGAAAGCGATGATGTTGGAGAAATTGGTGGTGTTGTGAACATGTTTGTTTGTTGGGTTTGAATTGACAAAGGCTTGCTTTTATCCAATGAGTTAAGACTCATTCCCAAATGTGTCATCAATTTTGTTCCAAGTGTAATGTCGACTCCGGGAATTGATGCGAGAATGCGTGAAACTTCATTGGCAGCGTGTGTAAAGCCAGCACGGAAACGATCTTCATGAATCACTGGGTTTGCATGTACTAATCGTTGTTGACGTCGCAACTTGTGCAAATGACGCACTGTCAATTCAAGAATGTCGGCTTTTTCTAACTTTGAGACATTTTCACCTTCAGATTGAAGTGCGGTGACCATTAATTCTTTTAATTCATCCAAGCATCGATTGATGCGTGCACGTCTTTTACGTTCAAGCATTGGCTTCATCACTTTTCTGTATTGATAAGTGCGACTAACTGGTTCTGCTGGTGTCATCACAGCACTTTTCATCGTTGATTTCATTGCAATATTTTCACCGATTTGATAAGCTGTTTCGTAGCACATGTTTTTCATTGTTCAATTATTTTCTTTTTATCTTTTTAATTATCAAAGAAAATTTATCACTTTCAATCGAATTATTTTATTTTTTAATTCGTTTCACTTCTCTTAAATTCTTTTTTCGGAATTCTCAACTTTTCAGTTTATTTTAGTTTTCTCTCTTCGTTTTTTTCTTATTTTTTTAAGGCTTTAAATCGACATAGAAATATCTTCTTGCCAGTACGAGAGCTCACAAAAGAATGAATATTCTCGCTATGGCACATTTTCTTTTATACTTCAATTTGTTTTCGTATTCGAAGCCGATCACGGGCTAGGGACTGTGAGAAAATAATTTTCCCACACATAGCAGAACCACCTGTTTTTTTCTTCACTGGCAGCTGTTATTAGGTGTTGCCGTCCCTTTTCGTTCAACGTTGAGGGATTCAACTATCCGAACCCTATGCTCGATCGCTTCTTACACGAGGGGATGTTATATTCATAAGAAATACTTTTTTATACAAAAAAGAGAGAAGCATTTCGTTTCTTGTTGGTCTCGAGGCTCTTCGTCGTTCATTGTATCTCATTTCAACTTATTATTTCTGCTTCCTTTCGGGACCCGATTTGTTGAGTATCATTATTTCATGTATACATACATGATCATGGATAATTTTCTAAAGATTCTTCTGTGATAATGCGGCATGAAGTATGCGCTACGGTTATAGAAAATGTTAATGAAATAAGGAAAAAAAGGGAAAAGGGCTCGCATGCGTTCCTTGAGAAATAAAATATTGAAATGTGACTCATTGACGATCACACTTTAGTCTCACTTGATGTCAAATGACACGAGATTGGAACTTGCTTTATCAGAGATTTTTTTCCCCACTTGAAATGAAAACGAAATGTTTATTGGCCATCAATTCTTCATGTAAATTAACGTCAAATTATTACTAGCTAGCTACTGAACATTTTATTTTCATTTATGTACGATTTTGATCAAAATAACATCGCAAACAATCCCCGACGGCCAACAATCATGGCATTCATTCATGAAGACAACAATTAATTGTCGTCCTGTGTTAATGGTGTTTGGCCTTCAAGCGATTGAATAATTGCGTTTAATGCTTGCACCACAGTTAAAAAAACTGCTTTCAAGTGTGTGCACGAGAAAAGCGAGCGCGAAAAAAAAGAGGCATTTCATTCATATCATTATCAGCTCGCCATTTCCGCTCGTCAAAAGCCGCACAACAAAAAAAACACGATGATCATAAAAAAGCTACAAACTATTTAAATTGAATAAAAAGGCAACAATTTTTTTTCTTGTTCATCACACTCGATGGTCGTCGAGAGAAAGAGTAATACGAGGGGATTATTTATTATAGTGTATGAGCAACGAGTGTAGCACAAGCGACGAGTTGCGACGCGACCCATGTATTTACACAGAAATCCGAGAGAAAAAGAAGGAGAATGAAGGAAAAAATAAACTGAACAAACACCATGTTCGATGTTGATGACTATACATGTGAAGTTTCAAACCGTGGGAAACTCCAAACTGAACCATTCTCAAGGAATGAATTCTTGAATAAAAGACGAACTCTACCCAGTGAACCAACAGCTGCTAAAATGGGCGCGTGGATAATTTTCCTATGACGATAAATTTTTTTTAAATCAATTGCCAATTCAATTGAATTAAGCATAGAAATAAGAATGAATTAAAATTAATTTCCACCAAGTTAAGTTCGCTTCTTAACATTTTTCTTCTCTCTGGGCTTGATCGCTATAGTACACGTGCTGAAGAGAAAAAAAGAAACCAGCTGCCGTTTTCATAATGCTTAAGTTGAAAGAATAATAATAAGCAGAGATATATTTTCTTATAATGGCTTTAAAAGAAATAAATGACGACACGACGCTCGCAAGACGGGACGGGTCGAGAATAAAGAGAAGAAGAAATGAAATAAACTGATTGCGGGCTTAACGCGAGAATTGCGCTCATAGTAAAAGTTTCTGTTTGGAACTTATAATGAAGATTTTATATCATGACGGCTTGAGTTTTATTTATCATATCCGCTTACATATTTATTTAAGAACACAACAATTTCATTAATTCTATGCTAAACATTTAATGGTTATGGTCGCTTTTTCCGCACAGTCCACCAAGCTTGTTTACTGAAAGTGTTAATTTATCTTTACTTCTTCTCATCATCCATTCCCGGCTCGAGCTTAATGGACGACGTTGGGCGAGTGGTCCACGAACATTCTCTCGTGATCGCTATTTTTATTTTTTATTTTTCTTCATCTCTCGCTTGCCGCTGCTGCTGCCTTTTATTTTCCACATATTTTTTTTCTCTTATGTCGAGTGGCAAGCTCGTTTTGGTTGGTAAACATATAACGATGAACTAGAAAAAAAACGACTATGACTGGATGAAAAGCACACTCGTTGAACAGCGCATGGTTCGGCGTGTGCGACGCTGTTTGTAATGGAAATTGCTATTAATTTATTGAAATGGAAGTCAATGTTGAAAAATGTTTGAGTATTAACTGTGCTTGCTGACATAAACTTTTAATATAAATTCTTCTTTATTTTTGCATAATAATAACAATAATAAAGTTGATGTACATTCACGGTTGATCAGAGTGATTTTTTTTCTGTAACGTTAATTAACCGTTTAAATATATGAATAAAGAAAGGCAGAGAGTGTCAGATGGGGACAATAACATCCATACACGACCAATTCATGTAGCGAAACTTGATTGATCCAAGTGGGCACTGAAAAGGAAGTTGGAGATTATGTTTGATGTGAATTAATGACTTTTATTTATCAGTCGTCGTTTATATTATTGAATGAAGTGGCGGCCGGTTTTGTGTCTTCTTTTGTGAATGGAAATTTCGTTAATGTTTTGATGACGAAGGGTGACGGAGGTTGATGACATTTCATATGAAATTCAGACACATCGACCTCAATAACTCAATGACTGATGCTTCCTGTCTATGCTTTAACTAGTGTAACGTTATTTATGATTTAAGTAATGAAATAAGTGTTTAGTTTGCTTGCAATAATATCAATATAAATCAGATCAAGATCTAAACTCACAAAATCTAATTCATGATCATTGCCTGTAGCTATCATGAGGATTGCCTCGCTTTCATAAACTTTAACATCCATTGAAAAACAATCGTGTGTCGTAAGATCGTGCAAGATCAAGATATTGAGATTATAAATTAATTCGAAACTTTACTCCATAAAGTAATAAGAACGGTGATGCGACATGCGCAATGTCAAGCGAATAAGAGAAGCAAAAAATGCGAAATCTTATCTAAGAAAGCAGCAATACAGGATGGAAACATAAAACTCATTCACTTCCACTTATCCATTCTTTCGTCTTATTCTTTTTGGGTCTTCTTGATCGTCGTCTTTTTTTGCGCTCTCGTCTCTTCTTACAAAATATTTCAATGTTATTCAAGTAGAACGAAAAAAATACTTAAAAATAACAACAAAGCAGAGAATTTCGTAAGCATCACTGGAACAGCAAAAAAGAACCTTTATTTTCTTCTTTTCATCGCATGTACTGAATGCGTAACGATTCTCGATGGCTTTCCCACGATCCGAACATTCGTCTTCTTCTTTCTCCTTTTTGATGCTTGCTTGTTTCCATTCGAAGAATAAACGATTGTGCACATGTGTATGATGAAATTGTTGTGAAGAGAAGAAGGCAGACGAAAAATAAAATAAATTTGTGCATGGTAGCATTTTAAATTAACCCACATGACACTAGTCGTCGTCTTCGTCGTCGACTACATTCTAATAGAAAAGATTTGTTGAAGAAGCAGGAATTGCGCAAAATGATCACAACTTCTTCATTGTCGTTTTTATTTGTATCCTCTTTGCTTCAAAAGATTTAAAGCTCTCATTTCTTTAATGGAAATTGACACGAAATCAAAAACTTTAAAAGAAACATTTTGCCACTTATGATGAAGTTGTTGATGAGATAAGATTACGATGTGGAGAGATGTTCACTTAAAATGAACCGGAAATTGGCTTTTAAGAGTCACTTAACAAAATATTCGTTCTCTGCTTTCATTAACATGATGAGCCATAATTTAAGATATCGCTAATTAATATTGCGACAGCTCTTTCCATTGCCTTATAATAAGAGAGTTTGAATTAGCATAATTTATTTAATGACCTGCTATTAATTGCATCAAGAAAGTCATCACATCTAATCGTTTAATTGGATATCTGAAGACAATAAAGTGCACTACACCAATCATCATCATCATCATCATCTTAAAGAAAGCGCACAACAGAAAAAATGTAAAGCAAAGCAAGTAAGTAAGTATGAAATTTAAAGGCAATTCAAAGTGTGTACAGCACGAACTAAACGAAAAGCCGTACATAAACAAGCATAAATGAATGGATAAATTGAATGGAATAACAAACACATCATGTCGGGTTTCAACTTATAAGAAGGAACATCGGAATAAGTTAAGACATGCTGGCAAGACTTTTCAATTTTTTTTTCACGATGAACCCTGATAAAGAAGACGAAATAAAAATATGAAAAAAAAAATTAAAACATTTTCGTTTTCTGAGAGTTTTTGTGAACACATGCTAAAAGTTCCCATGGATTTCGATCGTCGTCGAAAGCAGTTTAATGGAGAGAAGAAAAAGAAAGAAAAAGGCTAACAACAATGAAAGATGTTTGTCAAAAGATTACGATTGTGGCTGAGCCCTGCTTCTTATATTTATTTCGTTTTTTTTGTCAAAAGTGAGGGGCGAATTGAAAGGGTCTCTTCTCTTCTCACTTTGCCCTTTCTTCGCAACATACCGGAATATTATTGTGTTGTGTATCGTTTGGAAATTAATTGTAATTGAAAGCAGAATGAAAAGAAGTTCAGACCATGGGAAAATACGAAAGATGTTAAGCATTCCAGTAGAATGATTCAGACACATCATAAGCATATGGTGCAAACGTGGGGTTTGACTTAGGGCCAACATTACAATGTATAATATATTCACTCCGCATCAAATTAGATGATTCGTGTGTTCAAAGTGTGTGAATTTAATATTTTTTCCTTCGTTCTATTCTGTTCTGTCGTCAGTGATCAATTATTCATTCAGCACTCGACAATATGATCGCATGTGATGGAATTTTATGTTTTTCGATGAAGATAACTTTAGTAGCTAGACTGATTATGTACAGGGGGAAATTATTGGAATTCCTTTCTCATACTCATACTCATTAATGACGCCACGAGTTTGGCAAACGACCTTTAGAAGAATGACTTATGCTGAATGTTTCATGTTGTGCTCAATACGGGTAACGGAGAGTGGAATGCAATTCTTTTACGATGACCCTCATATCTTCTTCCGTTTCATTGCAATTTACGCAAGCACTCAATTTCATATCTTTAAGAATTTTACAACTTTCAGAGTTTCACACCTTAAATAAATTTTTCACGAGCAAATACTTGGAATTTCACGCAAGCCACAATTTTATAATCAGATAATTTTAAAAGCCAATTTCTGAAGTTTTAGATTTAGACATTTTTACGTTTGTTGGTATTTCTATTTCTCTCGTTTTCTTTTTCCGAACAGCTATTTGCTTAATGATTACGAAATGCAAAATATTTTTCTTTTCCTTTCTTATCAAGATTAAGTAAATTTTATGTGACCGGATAGAATTTCCTAAACATAACATTTTACTTAGAACATCTAAGATTATCTCTGTTAAGAATGTCTCCAAAGCTACAACAACATCCTTATCAGATTTGTCTGTTTTTTTGGCAATAAGAAGTTGAAGAAATATTTTTGAAGTACGTGAACAATTTCCTGTCCTTTCATTAAACACGCATTTAAATCTTTTATTCATCTTTTCCTTAAAAGACTGCAGGATGATTTTTTTTATTGGAGATTGTGCGTCTCTTTACATTTTTCATTTCATACGTCTGTGGACAAGAATAAAAGATTGTCTAATCCTCTTAATAGCACAATTGAGTTGGTAATTTTAAACATCAATAAATAGACTTCCTGTTTATTTTTTACCTTTAAAAACTGGCCATTGACGAAAAGTTTTTTTAAAACGAAACGTGATTTTTAAAAGTTCTTTCAATCTCTTTCTTACTGGTAATTGAATGCTTTTAAACTTTTCTTAAGGACATAATTTTTAAGTAGATATTCGACATGCAGATGAAATAGTAAAATATCAGATTTTCATAGAAAATTGAGTACAAAGAGAACATTTTGTAATTGCTTGTTACTTGAAACTTTTGAACTATTTTTAATAAGAATGGATACTTGGAAAAAGTCATTAGTTTGGGCTCTAAATAGACTAAGGATCGTTTTGGATACACATAATAATTATTCTAATGATAGCATTTAAATTAAAAGTTAACAAGAATGTTCTGCCTTCGTTATCCCTTTCAACAAAATTATCCTTTTAGTGATTAATTCGTTTTCTTCATCTAACAGTTAAAAAGTGAAATTTATCTCACGATTATCTGATAAACAACATAAAAAGTTCCATGTCGCAACAAATTTATGATATTTTCTTTCTCTCGACATGAATCCTTGTGAAAAGGTAAAAATTAAAAATCAATGTTCGTTAAAAGCGTTCAGAAAGTGTGGGAACACAACCCCTAAAATCTTTGAACAACAACAGGTTTAGACAATACAAGGGGATGAGACGGAATTCTTATTACGAACAGAGACCAAATAAATAAATATTAAAGTTTTATTGCATCAACAGGTACACAATTCTCACACTGAGAATGTCAAAGCCATGTTTGGTGAATAATGAAGGCAGGTAAATTGTGTAAATTGAAAATCTCACCTATCGATAAACTTCATTGATTCTCTCGACATTCCCACACTCAACTTTGTCATGTTGATTTCCAATGTTACAGGTCGTTTGACCTGAACTTGTAAGAAAGTAATAAATCAGGTTCGATTCATTAAACATGCAAAACCTTCATTGTTCTTCCCTTCTATTCTCTAAACAATGAAAAATGCTAATGAAGTGAAATTTCTTTCCTGCACTTTGCAGAAATTTTCACACATTTTTGTAAAAACAACTTACGATTGTTAATATTTTAATCCCGATTACACTTTACGTGACCTTTCTGCTTTTCCAACCCTTTCTCCCATCCTTTTAAATACACAAATCCAACCACTTTAATTTCATCGCTGACAAGTGTTCCGATCAATATTAAAAGTTTCTCTTCATCCCTCAACGCACAAAAAATCTTTTCAATTAATAAGCCCTAATGAATTGTAAGGGAAAAAGATAAACAAGAAAGTTAGTTAGTAAGCGAGTTGAGTGATAAATCCAATAATTAATATACACATTTCCCTTGAATTAGAATCAACGAGGCATTTCTATAAGAAACGAACGGCATCGACACGTTTTTTCAAGTATTCATTGAGTGAGATAATTTTTGTCTTATAATAAACATATTATTCCAATTCTCATCCCGTAAGCATGTTATTCAATGCATTAAATGCAATATTAAAAATCACCCTCCGTCAACCATCTGCCTCAATTTTGGTTTCGAGAAATCTTCTGTGAGAGCCTTAAATTTTGAATTTTCCCACAGATTCGAACGTCGCTTGTGTAACACCTGCCCCTGTATCTCGCACCCGATTCGTCGACCGAGTTTCAATGCTAGCAATAAGCGACCGTATGGTGTAGAGTGAAAGGGAGAATGGAAAAGAGATTTTGTGTCGTAAGTGAATGTATGTTGGAAAGGGACAGAGGGAAAATATTTCACCCTCTATGCTTTGGTATAAAAGGAACAACAAGTGATGAGAAAGCATTCAGAATAGAAAACATTTCGTAAGAGAAATCAAGTGATTTTCTTAACTTTTAAAAAATATTTCTTAAAGAAGTTTACGTGATAAAAAAGCAGCTAAAATGGAGCAGTCGATCTATTACAATGAATACATCATCTCGAGCAATAACAGTATCAACGAGAACACATTTAATGATCAGAAGTTCAAGAGATCACCGAGCTACCGTTTGAAGAAATTCTTAAAGTTTTTGATCGGTAAGCCAAATAACAACAACAAATCTCTGGGAACAACAAAGTTGAAGACAACTAAAACGGTTTGTAAATGTAAGAACTATTCGTATGAAGATGAAGAAGAACAATACGAAGATGATTACATTTACGATTACGACGCTGAAATCGACAACAATGAGTTCAATGAAGAACTTGAATCACGAATTATTGATGAAATTAAGCAATGCGATGAGACATCGGCAATTTACGTTTACGATGAAGAAGACAATTGCAATTTGACGCCAGTTTATAACGACGAAATTTACGTTCCAGTTCACTTCGCAAGAACGGAAGAAGGAACATTCTTTTGGACAACAACACAACGCACTGACAGTGATTTGATTGACTCGAAAGATTGTGAAAGCAGCCGACAATTACCAGCACAACAAAGTGATTCCTTTGATCGCTGGGTCCAAGCATAAACAATCTCAAACATTAATAACAACGTGCCATGTTTTGATCTCAACATAAACAACTACTTTTAATAAGAAATCTTGTGATAAAAATTCATCGTGATGACTCATGCTTTAACTAGAATTAAATGAAATCTTCTTTTTAAAAAGAACTCAAATGTCTTCCAATAAATAAAAAATAAGAATTTAAAATTTAATTCAACCTTCTTTCATTATCTTAAGTATTTTTTGTTACAGATAATTCGAATAGAAATCTTACTTCATATTTGCTTCTCAAAGATATCTAATTAGATACATTTTGAAGATTCTTCAATGAAATATGTGAAGAAATGTGATCTCTTCAAAACATAACTCAAATGTCAGATTTTTTATATTCCTTTCGCAATAAGTTTCTAATAAGCATCATGCTTGCTCATTGAGATATTGTAAACAAATATTTGCGCGCCAAGCATCTTTGAAAGAATCTTACGAGAAACAACACGTGTTATCCGTTCTGTTTTTGTTGTTTTTCAAATGGAATTTAAGGCACAGATGGAACTTATAAGAACTTTATAACTCATGGAAAGACATTAATTGACAAGAAAAACATTATGATGTATACAATTGAGTTAATTTTATCACTTCATTATAATTTTGTAATACACAGTAACGAAAGAAGAAACTGACACGAATTTTTGAGTTTTGTTGCGAAATATTTTCAGAACTCGGATTAAGAAAAGTTAAATCGGGTTTAGATTAAATTTCAGAGTTGGATTAAATCTTTAAATACGATTAATTGCATCTTTCTTACTTTTCCATTGTAATGCTTGCAATTAATTCTTTAACAGGTTCTGTTTGTTTGATTACACATGAATAAAATTGAACAAATTTAAGGAAGGGAAAACAATTAACACGTGTCGATGTAAGCATTTAACTTTCAGATCAATTCTAAATTTAATTCAATTTCTCTTTAAATATTCTTCGACATTCAAAATTCTTTTCATGTTTTTCGTAAGCCTTTGGGACGCGTTTGGACTATACATGCAATTTTCTGCACGTTCGTTCGAAATGACTGCACGTGCTTTAACAAAGAAACGCAAATTGCATGGTGTGCCACTGTCGATGTAGACATTACGAGGTGGTCTATTGTGATTCTCTGCTGAGGGTCAGGGGTAAGTTGTATAAAGTTATTTGCTGGAAGAGTATAAAGAGAAGAATATCATGGAGATTTCTCTAGAAGCTGAAATGAATTGACTTAGGTGGTACAAGATGAAGAATTCTTTTCTGTATAACTTTGAATATTGAAATCTTAAGATTCACAACAATCTACATTTTAGATCTAAATTGAAGAATTTCGTTGCAATTATTACAAAATATCAACCATGTAACTACCAATGATTGAATATAGAATAAGTCAAAAAGCAGATAAAGAACAAATTTTAACGAATCAATTGTGCAAAATATTTAATCCATAACAAATCGCGAAAACGTTTCGAAAATTTTGCTGAATGGAAAAGCATTTGGACGGTAAATTTGAAAAGGATATTTGAATCTTTTGTCTCCATTTTTGGACAAAACAACAAATGGATAGGAGTTCTTGCATTTTATTTCATTCCTTTATTTCTTGTCTCAAAGTAAAATCTTTTTATTTCTTTAAAAGAAGAAACATTTCTTTTATTTAGTCATTATATTGCTAATAATTTTTGTTAAGAAAAAAATAGAAAAAGTTCTATTGATGCATTTGAGATCTTTCAATTGCATTAATGTGGAACAAATCTATTTGTCAGCTCTTTAATGTTACTTACATTGAATCGAACTTCTATTCAGATCACATTTAACACGTGGGGTTAAGTCCTTAGATATTTCATAAATTGTCATAAAAACATAAAGTGAAGGCTTTAAATTCTTTATCTAATGAATAGTAAACTTTTTATTATACATTTGAACATCCTAAGAAATCGTAAAAAGTTTAATAGCTTTGAAGTTCAGATACTACGAAATTATTTTTGATGTTTTTTTAAGAGAAAGATCATTTTCCTTTAGTTTTGCACCTTGACTTCAAAATCAAATAAATAGTTAATGTTCCCTTTTTTGGGATTGGAAACGACCACCGAGAAGAATTCCATTCGTCACACATATCAAAATGCATGGAAAATTTCCCGTTTAAAATTCTTATGAATAAAACTTACTTATTTATCTGTTCCGCAATTAGTGATGCTTAAAGATTTTCCATAGATTCATCGTCAGCATTTTTCTATAATAAGAAGAAAAAAGACAGTTGTTGGACGTCAGGAATGGATAATAAGATTTTCTTACCAACGAATGTATCGAGTAGGATAATATTTCACAAAGAAGTCTTTTTTCAAAAATTAATTCGTTCCATCTCGTTTGTTTACTGAAGAAAGATCGGAGTTTCTTGTTTTTATTATTTCTTGCTTTTATGATTATAATGGTTCGTAAAATCCTGATTTTCTCGGTGAATTTTTCGCTTCGATATCAACTTCCTGAAATTGATTTTCATGGACTTTTTTCACACTGTTACTTGGGATAAGATAATAATGTTTGTTGTTATTGCACGGTGTAATTAAAGGCAGGTTATTAAATTGACTTACCATGGAATTATGTGTACAAAACAAGTTGACTTAATAATGACATTTTTTTGCTGTCGTTAAAAGAGAATTAATGTTGAGCTGTGCTTGGAAGAAATAAACAGAAACAGAAGACTTTTAAATTATTGGAATAAAAATTAAAAACAAAGCAAGACAAATTTAAAACTCAATAAATCCATCAACTATTAATTCAATCATTTATTTACTTTTTATTGCTTGTCGAGACATGCGATTTATATAATTATTTATTTTTATTAAGGAACGACTTCATTACAGTACTCACGACTTAACAATAAATTTAATGAATTAATCAATCAACCATTAAATGAGAAACATAATTCCTTTGCTTTTCAAAACTAATTTGTTTTTATTATTTAATAGATTTTGGATAAAATTGATAAGCATTTTCTTTTGGTTTAATGTTCGGAAAGAGTTAAATTTTCAACAATGATAGGATCACGCGATGTGAAGTGTTCAATCATATTTTCCGCTAAATTAATGAAAGCTGACTTTAAGTAAAACATACGTTAATTTATGTTTTAATGAAATTCTCTTCCTTTGACTTAAATAATCTATCATCATCATCATCATCAGAGTAGGGAGTNNNGCTATACGAAGTTATTAAATTATTGGAATAAAAATTAAAAACAAAGCAAGACAAATTTAAAACTCAATAAATCCATCAACTATTAATTCAATCATTTATTTACTTTTTATTGCTTGTCGAGACATGCGATTTATATAATTATTTATTTTTATTAAGGAACGACTTCATTACAGTACTCACGACTTAACGATAAATTTAATGAATTAATCAATCAACCATTAAATGAGAAACATAATTCCTTTGCTTTTCAAAACTAATTTGTTTTTATTATTTAATAGATTTTGGATAAAATTGATAAGCATTTTCTTTTGGTTTAATGTTCGGAAAGAGTTAAATTTTCAACAATGATAGGATCACGCGATGGGAAGTGTTTAATCATATTTTCCGCTAAATTAATGAAAGCTGACTTTAAGTAAAACTTACGTTAATTTATGTTTTAATGAAATTCTCTTCCTTTGACTTAAATAATCTACAATTGCAAGTAATTTCCTTCACCAAGGATATCAATATAACAATTTGCTTGTAAGTTAAAGAAAATGTTCTTGTAATGTTCTCTTTCATTACAATGAAAACTGAAACGTTTGAAGTCATTGTTTCCAATCCAAAAACTTTATTGAAGTTTAATAAAAGACTGTCTTATATGCTTTTACATCACCAATTAACAATAGTCACAGAATTTTAACAAGCTCTTCTACATTGACATAATAGTTTCTAGCTGTGATTTTCAATCTTCGAAAAAATGAGTTTTCTTTGTATCGAAGATTCTTTTCGCCACAGTCTAAGGAATTGGCATTAAACAAAGAACATCTCAGGAGGAATGAGGGCATTATTTACAGAAAACAAGATACAGTTTTCAAAAACACAATCTGAGACATGTAAGGGTAGTTGGACAAACTGAAATGAATTTTCCCTTTTCAGCCTTCCTTTTCTTTTGTTGAGGACGAGATGTGTCAATGCTTTCGTAAATTCATAAAAATCATTTGATATATGACACGATGTAATGTGAAGTCTATTGGCCATAGAAAAAAAGTTTCTTTCTTTCTTCTCGTATCCCAAAGATTTCACCAGAAATTGTTGGCTTTTTATGCTGATTCGTTGATGCGTTAAAGTAAGACAAAATTATATGATGCTTGACAGGGTTGGATTGGAGAAAGTTTCTTATGATTTCTTTTCATCCCAATTCACCTCTCAACATTCTCTACGTGCTGATTCTTTTATCCCAATTCTTAAATTTCTATAAATTCAAAACATTTGTAAACAAGGTGAATTGTAATAATCTGAAGACGAAGTGAGGGAGAAGAATTGATTCGATCATTCTCTTACCTACTATAGAAGGCGATACCCAAACAAAATAACAATCCCCATTTATTGTTCAAGATTTTTTTCTTCCACTTCCATCGCTTCGGGCTTCTTTAGTGTGTAATATCAGGCTAACCAATTCTATTTAAAATTAATTTTCATTCTAATCTATAGACGAATCTATACAAAAAAGCGAAGAAGTTTCTTAATTCTTTTCTCTCTTTTTATGATCTTTTTCTGTGTTAAAGTATCAAAAGATATTTCTTTACTAGTTTATTTGATTATTGTTCAGATTAATTCTTTTAGAAATAAAAAGTTTCCTTTTGAAATTGAAAGGAATCATGAAATGAAAGAGAAAACTTAGCCGATAGATCTTTCTTTGCTATTGTCAGGGAGCCATCGCACAATTCAACACACATTTTCACCGATAGATCATAAAAGAGCTGCTGAAGGTTGGCTGATTAAGGCATCGCAGCCTAAGGTTGAATCAAAAGAAATGTGGGACAAATTTATTCGCTCCTTTGATAGTTGAATTGAATGGAAACGAAAGTTTGATCCCTTTTCGTGCTTCGTCGAATGATTTAATTATCAATTATCCCGTTCAATTCATCTGAAATTGGAAAATATTTTGATTACGTGCATCCTGTCTCCATTGCAACAAGAAAAGGCGCTCATGGATGGTGAAAAAAAGGCAAACACATATGAAAAGCATTAAACCTTTTATCCCTGGCTGTCAAAACTCGTAAACCTTTAACATGTTTTCATTATCCTTGTGTTCTCATTTCACTCGACAATCTTTTCATATTTTTTATTTTTTAATGACAAGGAAGAGACAATAAATTATTTTCCAAATTAAATAATTAAAACATTTTCGTTTTCTCTTCAGCCTGTGTTATGTAATTCGATACATTCCATCACTGGTTTTTTACGATCCATAAAAGAAGTTTACATAACGGCGCAAAGTTTGGCCGAAATCTAAAGAAAAATAAGATTTCGGTTCTATCAACCATGAAAATATCGAGTTTCAAATTTCTAAACAATTTTCTTTACGAGCTTCTTGGGACAACAAGACGTGGGGCATGTTTTAAAGACTGCCAACAAGTGTAGAATGTTGAAAGACATGAAACACATTTCACAATTCCATAAATCTTGAATCCGTCATAACCATTGATAAAAATTAAGAATTCTTCTCGAATCCTAATTAGAAAGAATTTCTAACTTCTTTGACAACTTTTATGATTCTCATTCAAGCGAAACCTTTTCACCAGAAAAATGTCATCATAACATATGGAACGCATTAGATAGAAAATTAAAACCGTATTAGAAGAATATTTGTTTCCACCATGAAAATCATTAGTTTAAACTTCGAAGTAAGTTTTTGAGGGATTATTGTGGGCGGAAGAATCTCTCAAGAAATGCTTTCAAGCACTTGAATCTTCTTTGGTAGGAAATAAGCAAACAACATAACATTAATAATTGTACACAATTTTCTCATTAACATCATTCGATGCTCAATTAATGATCCGAAAATCTTTGGCTGTCGGCAAATGATTGAAATTCTCTTCTAATTTGAAAAAGGGCGAAAATTGTCTTTGCGGTGTTTCTTACAGAAGAAAAGCACTAAATTATATACTCTGAAAATTACTTAATAATTCGAAAAGAGCTTAATTTCAGTTGTTAAGCAGTAAAGAATCTGTTAAAAATCCACAAAGTGATTAAAATACTTTGCCGCACACAGAAGATTTGTCTTTGAGGGACGTCCACAAAAGATACTCGTGAATGCAATTCCATTATTATTTTCCGACGTTTTGCCTTCTTGATCAGACTCAACATATGTTGCGAAGATCATTTTTGAGAAATTGCCATTTCTTCAGCAACGGCATCGCCTTTAAGAAAGTTCCATTGTAGGCGTTTTCTCTAGAAGATTAGCAGTAAATGAAATGAAATTTCATGGTGGAAAGAAATTTGATTCGTTACGGGTGAAAATTTATAACAATCGGCAGGAAATGAAAGGATCTGATTGCGTTTGTAATCTGCAGGTTGATGGATTAGAAGATGAAATCTTCCAATTTATTTATTTTCTCATTTCGATTGATTGGTGAAGAGTTTGAGGTTTCAATTGAAATGATTGAAAAATTGGAATGCAACATGTGAATGATAAAAATATTTCTCTTCATAACATTAAATGCATAAATTTGGATTTGAAGTAACACCAAATATTACTATGCACTTTACGTCATTTCTTTTAACGCATCAAACAACATTCTTAAAATTAAACTAAGCATTAAAAGCGTGACTGGCATCCCTCGTTGTTGTCTGTGTCGAGAATCAGAAGTTTCATTAACATTCCATCCAATCTTCGCCCCTTTCTTCAATGAATTAATTTATTATCGCTGTTGGACCTTAAGTGCTTCAAACGAGTTTCACTTGATGAGGACAGCGTGATGTTAATTTATTGTTCTTTGAAGCCTTTCATTGTCATTCATTAACGGGATTTAAAAGGCTACAAAGGGCCTCACTTTCTAATTAAAAACAGGTTTCATTTCGGATTTGATTGTTGTTGTCGAATGAGGCTACAAAGGGATGAAGATCATTATCTTGTACATTTTTAATTTAAATTTTATCTCAAGGATTGATGCCTGTTGCGTCTAACTAACGTCGATTCCTTTTTCTGCTTCGATTCTTATTTGAATCATCTTGGAAAAAAAAGATTTAAACTCTCCATGAAGAAGTCGGATAGAATTTCTTGAAGATCTCGAATGTCCTTTCTGTTTGCAAAATATTCAACTTGAATTCAATGCAACTTGGAACTTCCATTATTCCCACTTCCTTTGCATTGTTGCGAGAAGTTTTCTTAGGAGTCTCTGGTTGAATGCGTTTCCTGTCCATTTGAAACTCTTAAGTTGTTATTTTTACGGTGCATTATGTGCTTGTTAAAAGGATCAATAATGTCGCCATTCAAGTGAAACTGATGATTTGAGGGTAAAAGTATGAGAGCGCATAAATTGGATAATTCATCAATTCTTCAAGCATAAATCAAACATTTTCAATGCTTAAGTGTCTAAATTAAACAAAGGACATGAAATCATTCAGATTTCCAGCAAAGATCAAGATTTTATAATCATGATTCATCCCGCACAAACTCCAATTCTTCCTGCAATAAAAAACAAAAAAATTCTTTCCTGACCCAACGTGTTAATTCTTTTATATTATCGCTAACTAAATTATGAAGGAAACCACGAAGAAAATCCTTTGGGCTTAATAATAATAAGAAAAATTTATAATTTTTATTAAAAATCACCTCGACCTACATCCCTTTTTGTGCCTCATTCTACGCTCTTTCGACAATAATCAAAGATCTTTTAAAAATTATTTACACTTTTAATCATAATGCCAGTAAAGGCAAAGGCTAACGAACAATTCTTCTTCGTGTTCCATTAATCAATCTCAATGCCCCCAAAATCTTTTGGGTTGAAAATCACTCTTCGCAACAAAGTTGAAGAAAAAAAGGAATGGAAAGTAATTTGAACACGTGCAAAGGGATCTCTCATCGAACCCAAAAATTAAGAATGAGGCAAAGGCGAAGAGTGAAGAATTGAAGTTTCATCTTTTGTTGCATTTTTCGGACTTAAATAAAGTAGATGCTTAAAAGAATGTTCAATGCTTCTCGTATATCTGTCTGTCTGACTCTCTTAGTTGTTCATAACAACGAATTCTTTACTTATAAGAATCCTCACCTTGTCTCATTCCCTCAACATGATTTCTTTGAGGGTAAAAGAACATTAACGTTCCTTCCCTTTATTTCATGGTCAATTCTTTTTCCTTTCACAAAACATCTACCAGAGATTCGATAATTATGCGTTTACAAATAAAATGGAAGATTTTCTCTTAAGGATGAAAAATTTATCACATAAAAATAAAGAAAGAAGAAGGTTGAAAAGTAGCAAGAAAGGAGGATTCGAGGGAAGATTTAATAATGGAGTCACATGGATTTTTTTCTTGTCAACAGTCTTGATGGTCGAACATAAAATGAAACAAACAAATGCCACAAATACTTCCCAAAGTCATTTATGAAGGAAGCTACAAAGTTTAAAAATAGCGATCTAATTGGATAGATCCACCGATACAAGAGGTTTCGGTAAGATAAATATAAATGCTATTAGTTTAGGACGTGATAATTTCATTCTTCACATAAAAAACTCTTGAAATTTGAATCAAGATTTGAAGTTAATGTTAATGAAGTCAAGAAGTTGAAGATGAATTTATTGAAAGTTTTATTCAAATTCACTCAACACTTGAATATTAAATTAAGATATAAAAATAAATAAAGAAGATTCAACGAAAGTGGAATTGAAATCTTTCAAGGGAAAGAATTCTATGCTTTGTAGGTGACAAACTCTCATTCTGACATTGGTATTCAAATACAAAAGATATTTTGACTGATTATGAATTACAATCACGTCTTCAAGTCGACATGTCTTTATTGATTTTACCCAAAAGTAATAATAAATATTTTCTCGCACGTGAGACTTTAGAGCTGACAGCAGTGAATTTCTAAGAAATTCCTTTTTCAATAAAAATAAACCTAAACATGGGCATTAAAGTATTATGCATGTAAACGCAAAAAATATTTCGAACAAAGCTTAAATGTCCTTCTTCAATCCCTTATCTGATCATCGACATTTCATTTCTTCTAGCACAACATTAACAACAACAATCGCTTATCTTACGTTCATGATCAAATTATTTTGAAGAGCTTTCTAAGGATTTAAGAATGTAAATATTTGAAAAATATTTTTGTGGATATAAAGGACTAAAAGATGACAATAGGAAATTTGTTTAAGAACACGAACAATTTTCGTTCGTTGGCAAATATAAATCTCAACAACAATAGATATCGAAGAAACTGTTAAAGTTTGTCTTTAGAACCAACATTCACAAAAGAGACTTGGAATGCTTTATGGTTAAGCTAACTTTTACCCATTTCTATCCTCCACTTATTGTCTTCAATGATCTTCAAAAAAATTTGAAAACTTGTCGAAATGACAATAGAGACACACATTTATTCAGTTGAATGATTTTTAATGCATCGAAATGTTTAAAATGTAATTGAACGTTTAATAGAAAGTTGCTGATGAAACTGTTTACAGATTTGTTCATTTGGGCTTGTTGTAAGCCACTGGGGGTTTTGTTGAAACTTCAAATCTTCAGTTGATTAAAGAGAAGTTGTCAGATTGTATCAAATAACATTCAATACAATTTCATTCTGATTTTCTTATTGTTGAGGAAAATGATGTTGAGATAAAGAAATTTGCTAATTAACGAGATAAGTTATTAGTTTCTGAGAATCAAAAAGCAATCTTAATATCTACCACGCATGAAGTCGCCTCCAACCAAGCTCTTAATGGTAGCATCTTGGTAGCACTTAAAGAAGCAAACATCAATTATTTTAATTTGCTTTTTCTCCACATTTGCTTTGTAAATGCTAATTCTTCATCACGTTCAAATTCAGTCTTGATAGCAATTAACTCTTTTCAAATTCGTTGCTTGATTGTCTAATGCAAATGAAGTTTGAAACAGAAGTTTGAAATCAAGTAATTAGGTGGGAAGAAAGAGAAGGAATTGAAGAAAAAATATTCGACTTGAGCATGTTGCGATAATTTGTTTCTGTTTTGCTTTTCATCAGCGTGGAATGTTTCGACGCCTTAAATACATAAACTTTAACTTCACTTTGAATCAAACAAGTTCTTATTTAATCGGTTTTTGAAGATGCCTCTCGTTGATAATGCACGTGTTATGCTAGAGCGAGAAACGGTAGACTCAAGAAAGCATGAATAATTGATCATCAAACAGAGAGGGTAAAGAGTAAGAAAAGCATAAACTCGACATGGAACCTGCAGACATTGGAACCAGATAAGATAAACATAACATCGTTTGTTTAGGAAAGAATATTTTATTTAGAATATTTATGTATGTACGAGTTTGTTTTTAAAGCCGAGGGATGATCGTAAAAGAATTTGAAAAACTATCTTTAAGGAGGGTAAGAATATTAAATTTCAAGGCATTAATACGATCCCTTGCCGAGTTTTATGTTTTATGAGGGTGAGATGAGGTCTTAAGAAATTATGGAAATATTTTCAAGGCTTTGCAAAGCAGGTCTCACATTACAGGTTCTAAAATATGTATCGCAGCAAGTTCACAAGTTAACAAGTTATCGAATATTAATGATACTGATTGAAATTAGATTTTTTTCTGTTACAAATTTCACAAGATATCTAAATCATTGTGCAAGAATTTTCTAGTTAAAACATGCTCAGACATGAGAAATGTAACAATGAAAGTGTCTCAGACTTTCCTAAACATTTCTTTATTCTTTTATTCAAAGGTAAATACAAAAAATTTGTTTCGTTTGAGAAATCTTAAAAGTTCAACCTGGAAATTAACTTTTTTTAAACATGAATCAACAGTTGAATTGAGTGAAAGTGGAAGCAAGATTCAATAAATTTATTCACGAATAAACTTTGTAGGGTAAAAATTGCACGGAAAGATTCAAGCATGGAATCTATGGCCAAGATTTCTTTATGATTTTCGATGATCTCTTGTAAATATTGTGAATGCATAAGAGAGAAAGAGAAGAAACATAAAAATCACATTATCCAAGCATACTGCATGCATGTTACGAAGGACGATACGAAAACGAAACTAAGAACAAACGAGAGAGATGCGAGAAAGATTCTTCATGTCAGGACCAAGATCGAAAACAGAACGAAAATATGTATAAAAGAAACAACTGAAACGATGACGCATTTAGAACGAAACAAGTTTTTAAAACAACCAGACGTGCCACGAAGTTCAAACTAAGAAGAAAAAGTTTTTTTTATTTTGTATTGTGAAAGTAAAAAAAGTTGAATGAAAGTGAATTAAAAATGTCTTCATTCTCGACCGACTACAGCATGTCAAGTATCAACAGTATCAACGAAAACATTTACAACGCTCAAAAATTAGCGAAATCTCCAAAATATCGATTGAGAAAAATTTTCAAGCCGATATTAAAGATGTTGCTGAATAAAAGCAAGAGATCTGCTCAGAATGTTTGTAAATGTAAGAATTCGTCGTTTGATAGCTACGATTACGCTTCAGAGATCTGTGATAATGACTTGAATGAGACTTTAGAAACGAGAATTATGGATGAAATCAGAGATTGCGCCGATAATTCAGCTGTTTATGTTTATGGTGAGAAAGATCAACTGGTGTCAGTCGACAGAAATCAGACTTTTGTGCCAGTACATTTCGCTCGAACAAAGACCGGAACATTCTTCTGGACATCATTCGACAACAGCGAACATTTCGATCCAGACAGCCAATTACCACAACTTCATTTCAACCAATACGATCGATGGGTACAAGCATGAATGTTAATTAAGTAATTTCTTTAATGTTTAAGGCCTTGTAAATTTCATGTAAATTTAATATCGTGTCTTCCATTTTATCGATTAAGAAATGATATCAAAAGAGATTGTGAAATAGCTTTTAATGTCTTCCAGAGCAATGCATTAAAGTATAATTTAGTTGTCGATATGTTAAGCTCAATATGTGATATTAATTAACTTGATTAGAACATTTAAGGACCGGGAGAAAGGCTTTAATAATTTTTAAGTTCACCCAAATGTCTTCCATTTAATTTTAAGTTTTGTAAATAAATAAACTTCATTGATAGGAGAGAAATTTTGTGAGTTTTCAATAATCTTACAAGCAATCATAATAATTGTTTTCAGGAAGTTATCAGGTTGTTCTTCTAAGAAAACAAATTCCAAGAGTTGAGAAGTTTTATTTCCATTTCACAAGAAAACTTTCGGTGTCAAGAAAAGGCAAGTAAAATATTTTCTGTAACGGAAAGCAGCCAAATTTGCGGGGGTTCTCGTCTTTTATCTTTTGACAGTAAAAAGGATCGTAACTTTACACAAAAGAGAGTAGGTAGAGATATTTTCCTAACAGACAAAATGATTCGTTCAACAGTTTTGTAGTCTAAAAAGAAATGAAATATTTGCTTAAAATATCTACCATGATATTCTATGTAACCCAAACCAACGACGATTCCTGTTACGATTTTGATACTCATAACATCATGAACAAAAAAATGTCTTGTTACTTCAGTAATATAAAAAATAAGGAAAACGTTTTTAGGATTCTTCTTTGCTGTAACAAAAATCATTCCTTTGGAAAACCGGTTTAATATTCTGACAGAAATTCTAAACTGATTCTCGTTCTTACATATTTATGAAGCATATGAAACAAAAATCTCTTCACATAAAATGAAAATGTTTGTGCAGTCCTGAAAACCTCTTTCGCAAAGATTCAACTTGCCCTCAAGGCTCAAATCCATTAAACACGTGCATTCGAATTTGAAAAAAGTATTCTTAAGCAAGTAGAAGGAGATAAGAAAGAAGAAAATAAACAATAAACGGCAATGACTCAACCTTTTTCAAGTTGGATTTCAATTTTCTGTAACATCTCCGTCTTATTGCATGAAAGAATTTTTCTGGTGCACTTTCTTTCAATCTATTGTGATGAATTAGAAGAAAAAAGTTATTTATGTCCGAGACCCAAAATTCATAAGATTCATAATGGAAAAGCAAGTACAAAAGAAATTGCAGCAGTTCTAGTTATTTAAGATTGTCGTAATGAAATAAGAAATTTAACCAACAATAGCAAAATTCAGGTCAGATTTTAGTGACATTTTTGAGCGTGAACTGCAAAATTGTCCATCTGCTAAACTATAAGAAACTTATCAGTTATTCTTGTTCGCTTAACAAGTATTAATTTACTCATAATTGCTTTTCCAACGACACGAACTGTTTCTGAAGTTACGAAACATGTTTCTCATAAACATTAAAAAATTTTAAACACTCATAAAAGAATTATCTTTCACAAGCAAGTTTGTCGTATTCATTCGAAAAACTTTTTCAAATGCAAACGAAGTTTCAATTTGAAGTGCAATTTTCAAGAAAAAATGTTCCAATTATCAAGATTTTTGCTTCATGGTTTGATTGTTATTCAAGCAGCCATCATCACATTCTTTCTAACATCGGATGAAATCAACAATTCAGAATTTAGAAGCATAAATAAAAACGACAGTGGCATGAACAGTGAACATATTAATACAATTAATATCACACAACCCAAATTTAAAACTAAAACCTTAAAATATTGGCAAATTTGTATTAAAAAATGGAATAAAATGGGAAATTTGCGTTCGATGGAACGAGTCTTTGAGCGATTGGGCTACGAGTTTGTCAATGCTTCAGAAGGGGATGATTGGGATGTTCTTTGGAGTTCAGAATTTCCCTTTCAAAAAGAAGTGGCGAAAGATTTCGATCCAATATTCAAGAAACTTAAGCCACATCAGAGAATCAATCATTTTCCAGGAGTATTTTCAATAACAAACAAAGTTTATGTGGCGACACAGAACCAGCAATTGAGCTTCATTCTTCCATCTTTCTCATTGCCTGATATGTTGGACGAGTTTAAAGCCTACGTGGAAAAAAATCCTACAAAACAATTCATTACAAAGAACATGTACAATCGTGGTGTTCGTATGATTGATTCCGAAGATGCTACAAATAATTCTGAAATTAAATTTGTCCAAGAATTCATGGGTAAACCTTTGTTGATTGATGAACGGATGTTTGATATTGGACTTTATGTTGTGATAACTTCAATCGATCCTGTAAGAGTTTATCGTTACAACAATGATGTTTTGCTGAGGTTCTGTCCACAACCCTTTTATCCTTTCGATTCTAAGAATATAAAAAAGTTTGTTATTGATGATACTCATTTAGATTTCTTAGATGCACCTTCAATCAAAAAATATTGTGACAAATACGAGTTCTCAGCAAAGTTAGCGTTTGAAGCAGTTCTTGAAGACAAAGGATTTAGCAAAGAAGATTTTTGGAAAAGCATTGACGATGCCATCGTGTCTTTGTTGCTAACCAGTGAGAAAATATTCATTAGAGAAGTATTCAGTGTCAAAATTACTTATAATCATATTCATTAATTTAAAATAATTTACAGATAAAAAAATATGGTTCGTATCGCAATTACTTTGAGCTTGTCAGGTTTGACTTTATTCTCGATGAAAACTTAAAATTGTATCTCATGGAAGTTAACCAAAGTCCAAGTATGACTCCAATGGATAAAAGATATGAAAGTTATACTCTCATGTATCAGCAAATAGTTTATGACACTGTGAAACTTGCTGGAATTGGAAGTTACATGGATTTAATGTCGAGGTCGAGTAATGTTTTGAATAGAATGATGAACTTAAAATTAAAATTATTTATTGGATTTACAGATATAACAAACAATCAAGTGAAATGATATCAAATAACAAAAATTTAGCTGTCGATACCAAAGCATGCGTAAGAAACGATTGCAAAAACAAATGTGGAAGGAAAGGATGTGAAACTTGTTTGCCTTGTATAGCTGAAGAAGATCTCCAGCAAATGCATCAATCATTTCAGGAACATAACAATCAAGGAGGCTTTAAAAGACTTTTTCCAAATACTGAACCTTTAACAGCGACAGACGAATTTCAATTAACAGAACGTAATAAGATTTTAAAGAAATGGTTTATTGCAAAGTGTAAAGAAAATAAAAATTGGTGCTCTTAAATAAAAACGAAGATGTTTGTAATTTAATCAATATTTTATATTTTAAATATTCTTCTGTTTTAAAAACAACTGCAAAAATATTAAAACCTAAACAGAATTTAATCATTTTTGACTGCATTATGTGGTGAGATGATCACAAACTTCACGGCTAAAATTTTATATTTAAAGTGTTTTGAATATTTGCAATCATTTAACTTGGCTTGTTAGTGATCAGTGTTACTCAACCATTTACACATACCTACTCAAAAACATGAATCGTGTTAAATTCGAGAACGTTTTAAACTCTTTTCCTGACCAGAACATAAATATAAACGTTGCAATATTTTAACAGCTAATAAAACCGTTTTTAATATTTATAAAGTGTAAAGTTAGTCAAACGACTCAGTTTTGAAAAAGCTTACAGAAAACTTGAAGGTTCTAAATGTCACTATCACAAATAGCGCCATTACTGCTTGCTGTTGCAATTTATTTGTTTTCAATTAAAGATCAATTTGGAGATCATCCTTGCAAAGGCTCTAATGAAAGTGAAGTTTGTCAAGAGAATAAAAGTGTTACCAATAGACATTTGAAGTATTGGGGCGTTTGCTTACATAATTGGAATGAAAATGGAAACTTACGAACCATGAATCGCGTTTTTCACCGTCTGGGATATGATGATGTAGATGGAATGGTAGGCGAAGATTGGGATGTTTTATGGACTATTGAGTATCCATATCAACCTAAATTTATGAACTCACGAATATTTAAAAATATTTACAAGTCATTAAAACCTCATCAAAAGATTAATCACTATCCAGGATTACCGTTTATCACAAACAAAGTTTATGTAACAACACACAACCAGGATTTAGATTTTATTTTGCCATCTTTTGAGTTACCTGATATGTATGACGAATTACAAGAGTACATTAAAAATAACCCACAAAAATTATTGGTGACAAAGGATATGTTTAATCGTGGAGTGAAAATTGTAGATAAGAATGACATTCAAAACAGTACGAAATTTCAATTTTTCCAAGAATTTGTTGAGAATCCATTGTTGATTGACGGAAAATTCTACGACATTGGAGTTTTCGTTGTGACTACATCTGTTGATCCATTGAGAGTTTATCGTTATACAAGAGATGTTTTGTTGAGATTTTGTCCTGAGCCTTATTATCCACTGGATCATTCAAACACTGGTCAATATGTCGTCGATGGAAGTTACATTCATTACACAGAAATGCCTTCATTTAAACGATTCACTAAAGACTATGGATCTTCATCGAAAGCAGCATTTGAAGCTATACTAAAAGAGAAAAACTATAATTTTGATGATTTTTGGGAAAAAGTTGACAATGCTATTGCTACATTACTGATAAGAAATGAAGGACGTGCCATTAGACAAGTATGTTTGTAAAAATAACATATTTTAATCATTCTGTTTTAATTCATTAATTTCCTTTCCTAGCTCGCAAGCTTCAATTTTACTGACAGGAATAATTTTGAATTGGTTCGATTTGATTTTGTTTTGGATAATAATTTAAACCTTTTTCTCATGGAAGTTAATCAGAGTCCAAATTTGACTCCAGTGAATGATCAAATTGAAGCAAATTCATTGATTACCGAACAACTTGTATACGACACTTTAGTACTTGTAGGGGCAGGCAGTTATCTTGATGTAATGTCATGGTAGTAGAAAAAGTTTTAATGAAAATTTATTAAGAGTATTGCAAACACATCTTAAATTATTTTCCTAGTTATGATGACAAAGCAGATGAAATGATTTCAAACTCAAGGAACATTGCTGTCAACATCGAAGAATGTGCGAAAAATGACTGCAAAAATAATCCTACATTGAAGGAATGTGAATTGTGTTTGACATCTCTCAGCAAAGAAAATATCACATACTTTCACCAAGCTACTCGAGAACTGTTCTCGAAGTGGAGGTTTCATCAGACTTCTACCTTCAGAGCGATATAAAAGTGAATACTTTACAAATAATATCTCCGAAAACAACAGAATTTCATTGAAGTGGTTCATTGCAAAATGCAAGATTGATAAATCTTGGTGTTAGTCTAATTTGTGATACAAATTAATGTTGTCGAAGCATTTTCAAAAGTTTTCCATACATTTTACGATGTTAAAATTCTTCTCTTTTTCGTTACTATAAAAAATACAGTGGAACTTTGATAAACAGATGGCTCAAGGTGCATCAGTTAATCGAGGTATCAGTTAATCGAGGCAATTTTTCATACAAATCCGATTCAAGGGGACACAAGATATTTGTTTATCAAGGTTTATCTGTTTATCGAAGTTCCACTGTATCAATTTTTCAAAACTTTTCCGTGAAATTTCGAAGTTTTCCATGCCTTCCTTGATTTGAACTCCATATAACGGATCAAGAGATAATTTTCAATAGTTTTTAATGTTTCAATATATTTGAAAGTGAACCGTCAATTCCATCTGTATTTGAATTGTGTTTTATGCAGATAAGTTTAAGTAATTAACAGGGCTTCGGTCCGCATCTATTTTTCTGTTCCGGAACAGGAAACGGACCTTAAGCGGGACCATGAATCCGTTCCGGAACAGAAACGGACCGTTCCGCTAAACGATAAATCTGTTCCGGAACAGGAAAAGGAACTTGTTCCGGAACAGAAAACGGACCTTAAACGGATCTCGGAACACGGACCGAAGCCCCGGTAATTATTGATGAATAACGAAATGTCTGCAATTTGATCGTTTTCATATTTACTTATTGGTGGATCTTATAAAACTTTTCTCTTGAAAATTGAAATTTCTGAACGAACTTCTTTTTATAAAAACCTTCTTAATAAGGCCTATTACATTGGAGAGAAGCCTTTTCCATATTGATTTCAAGAAACTTTCCAACACCTCCAGAGGTATCTAAAATCTGCTTGAAATTTTCATTCGAAAATAAAAATTTTCAATAAGCTAAGAGAAAAGATTTCATAAGATCCATCGTTAATATTAAAAAATATTTTAATTCTATAAAAGAGGGTCTAAATGTATTGTGTTAAACTACTTCGAGTAAGTATTAAATACTTGAAACAAATAACAAGTAAAGAACGCGAAAAAACTTTTATACTTTTTAGTATTAAATTAACATTTAACTTACTTTGATAACTATTTCGACAGCAATACTGAGAATCTCTCTCAGAAATCGTCAAGTTCAAGGTGCATTACAGTATCGAACTGAATGTTCTGATAATGACAGCTTTGCTGTCTAAATAGCTATTAAAAGTAAGTTAAATGTTAAATAAAAAGTATTTATTCTCCGCATGCTTCAACGAGTTTTTGTAGTTGTTCCTAATTTTTACATACTTTTTCCAGTTTGTTTCGTTTTTATCATTCAAGTAAGTATTTTTTGCGAATATTTTGTCTTCTTTCATCAATTTTAAAGATTTGTTGTACCATTTATACGATGTACTGATTTTTATTGGTTTATACAAGATCAGCTCACTCACTACTTTTTCTAAATTATTTTTTATATTTTTGTAAAAGATATTTAAATTTATACTAAAATCATCAGATATCCATATAGATTTTTTTTCTTTTTTTTCAATTTTTCACCTGGATATTCTGATAAGTCTTTCGTCGCATTTTCATTGTTATTATAATTAAATTTAACATTCATCTCTTCATTAAATTCGTCAGGAATCCATATAGATTTTTTGACTTTTTCTTTTAATTTTTCACCTGAATATTCTGACGAGTCTTTAATGATTATTTTTTTGTAACTATTTTCTGATTTTTCTATTTTGTTGAAATAAAATTTGATAAAATTGTGATCAGCAATATTAATGTTATCAAAAACTTCACAAGATGAATTTGTTCTTGAAGTGAAAATCCAATCAATCAATGTCGACGTATCTTTAGTTTCTCTAGTCGGTTTATCTACGATTTGTTTCAAATTAAATCTTTTTGCCAATTTTAAATTTTTTTTTGATCCATGATTTTTCTGTATAAGTTTCCATTTGCTTCAATAATAATTTTCTTTTTGAATATATTTTTTTTGTCAAGGATTACTTTTATCAATTTTAATTCATCATTAGCATCAAAAAGGTCAATATTTTGACTATATAAACCGTCTTTCAATTCAGCTTCACTTGGGTATTCATCCATTGTGTCGTAAAAGATAATCTTTAATTTTGGTTTCTTTTTTTCTTGACTCATTATATCAAAATTGGGTCCAAGTTGGTTTTTCAATGTACTTTCTAACTTATCGTCTTGAGAAACTGTAGTTATTCGAATACCATTTGTCGATGCATTAGATAATACCAACAATATCAAATTTTTCGGGGTCAACAGCCTCTACAATTTTTTCTTTAGTTTTTGTGCGGTCGATTTCATCATCCTTAGGTTTAACAATCAAAAATCTCTCTTTACTTTTCAGTGTGTCGGTGTACGATCGCTTTTGTTCGCATGTTTTTTCTTCTCTTGGTTGTTCTATTTTTGTTTCTATCATTGTTATTTTATCAATCACTGCACTCAAACTATTTTTTATTTCTTTCATTTCCATTCTTTTAAGGCTTTCAGAATCGTCACATTTTTTGCAGAACCATTTTAAACCTTTTACTCTTTTTAAGAAATCTTTAATTTTTTCAATGTCAGCTTCGGTTCCAATTAATAAATCTGCTTTTAAACACTTTATGNCTATCCACTAGATCATTCAAACACTGGTCAATATGTCGTCGATGAAAGTTACATTCATTACACAGAAATGCCTTCATTTAAACGATTCACTAAAGACTATGGATTTTCTTCGAAAGCAGCATTTGAAGCTATACTAAGAGAGAAAAATCATAATGTTGATGATTTTTGGGAAAAAGTTGACAATGCTATTGCTACATTACTGATAAGAAATGAAGGACGTGCCATTAGACAAGTATGTTTGTAAAAATAACATATTTTAATCATTCTGTTTTAATTCATTAATTTCCTTTCCTAGCTCGCAAGCTTCAATTTTACTGACAGGAATAATTTTGAATTGGTTCGATTTGATTTTGTTTTGGATAATAATTTAAACCTTTTTCTCATGGAAGTTAATCAGAGTCCAAATTTGACTCCAGTGCATGATCGATTTGAAGCTAATTCAGTGATTACCGAACAACTTGTATACGACACTTTAGTACTTGCAGGGGCAGGCAGTTATCTTGATGTAATGTCATGGTAATGGAAAAAGTTTTATTGAAAATATATTTATATTTATAATTACAAACACATCTTAAATTATTTTCCTAGTTATGATGACAAAGCAGATGAAATGATTTCAAACTCAAGGAACATTGCTGTCAACATCGAAGAATGTGCGAAAAATGACTGCAAAAATAATCCTACATTGAAGGAATGTGAATTGTGTTTGACATCTCTCAGCAAAGAAAATATCACATACTTTCACCAAGCTGCTCGAGAACATGATCGAAGTGGAGGTTTCATCAGACTTCTACCTTCAGAGCGATATAAAAGTGAATACTTCGCAAATAATGTCTCCGAAAACAACAGAATTTCTTTGAAGTGGTTCATTGCAAAATGCGAGATATATGATTCTTGGTGTTAGCCTAATATTAATAGAAATCAATGCTTTCGAAGCATTTTCAAAAGTTTTCCCTACGTTCGTTTTCCGATTTTTATTTCCCTGATTTCCATAACAAAATGTCAATTTCAAAATTTTCCGTGACATTTCTATAATTTCAATGCGTTATCTCATGCTGTGAGCTTCTGTAAAAGTTCTTAAAAAACATAAAATATAAAAAATATAAAAGAAATTGAAGAATATGAACTTTGAACTTGACGATTTCTGTAAGAGATTCTCAGTAAATATTGAACCAAACATTCTGATAATGACAGCTTTGTTTTTGAAAAACTTTTAAAATTAAGTTAAATGTTAAATAAAAAGTATAAAATTGTATCGCGTTCTCTACTCGTTATTTGTTTTAAGTATTTTGACTTTTTACGTGGCGAGACTACATCAAAAATTAATCTCATGTAAATAAAGAAGACGTAAAACAGACTTTTTGGATCTTTTAATGTAGGCATGCTTTCGACAACACTTTGTGACAACTTCAGAAACGTTTCAAGAGTGTAAAAAGACGAAAGTTTTAATAATCTTAAGAAATGACTGCTGTTAAAAAGATTTGGATTCAATTTGCATTCGTCTTCATCGCAATAGTAATTGCAATTTATTGGAAAACTATCACAAGAAAGATAGTAAAGGGAATAAAACGAATCAGTTCTTCACCATTGAATGATGTAAGCACTTTAAAATATTGGGGAATTTGTTTAGACAATTGGAATGAAAATGGAAATTTGCGAACAATGGATCGCGTGTTTTATCGTCTTGGATATGACGATGTAGATGGAAGTGAAGGCGAAGAATGGGATGTTGCATGGAGCATTGAATATCCATATCAAGGTGATACCTCGGTTATATTTGATCCATTTTTTGAGGATCTGAAACCTCATCAGAAGTTCAATCACTATCCAGGATTACCGTTTATCACAAACAAAGTTTATGTAACAACACACAACCAGGATTTAAATTTTATTTTGCCATCATTTGCGTTACCTGAAATGTATGGCGAATTACAAGAGTACATTAAAAATAATCCACAAAAATTACTGGTGACAAAGAATATGTTTAATCGTGGAGTGAAAATTGTGGATAAAAATGACATTCAAAACAGTACAGAATTTCAATTTTTTCAAGAATTTGTTGAGAATCCATTGTTGATTGATGACAGATTCTTTGATCTCGGAGTTTTCGTTGTGACTTCATCTGTTGATCCATTGAGAGTTTATCGTTATACAAGAGACATTTTAATAAGATTTTGTCCTGAGCCTTATTATCCATTAGATCATTCAAACACTGGTCAATATGTCGTCGATGAAAGTCACATTCATTACACAGAAATGCCTTCATTTAAACGATTCACTAAAGACTATGGATTTTCATCGAAAGCAGCATTTGAAGCTATACTAAGAGAGAAAAATCATAATGTTGATGATTTATGGACGAAGATTGACAATGCAATAACTACATTACTGATAAGAAATGAAGAGAAAGTGGTTGATGAGGTTCTTGAATATATTATAATTTTTTCATATCAAGATAAAAAAATTTAATTACAGATTGATTATTACGAGTTCGGAAAAGAAAGAAATAATTTTGAATTGGTTCGATTCGATTTTGTAATAAATGACAATTTTGATATTTTTCTCATGGAGGTTAATCAGAGTCCAAATTTGACTCCAATGTTTGATCGATTTGAACCCAACGCTTTAATACATGAGCAGCTTGTGTACGACACTTTAGTACTTGTAGGAGCAGGCAGTTATCTTGATGTAATGTCATGGTAATGGAAAAAGTTTAAAGAAAGTTTATTTATATTATTGCAAACACATCTTAAATTATTTTCTAGTTATAATGACAAAGCAGATGAAATGATTTCAAACTCAAGGAACATTGCTGTCAACATCGAAGAATGTGCGAAAAATGACTGCAAAAATAATCCTACATTGAAGGAATGTGAATTGTGTTTGACATCTCTCAGCAAAGAAAATATCACATACTTTCACCAAGCTGCTCGAGAACATGATCGAAGTAGAGGTTTCATCAGACTTCTACCATCAGAGCGATATAAAAGTGAATACTTTGAAAATATTGTCTCCGAAAACAACAGAATTTCTTCGAAGTGGTTCATTGCAAAGTGCGAGATTGATAAATCTTGGTGTTAGCCTAATTTTAATATTATTTTATTAATGTTGTCGAAGCATTTTCAAAAGTTTTCCCTACGTTCGTTCTCCGCTTTTTATTTCCCTCTTCCTGTTTTCCTTAAAAAAATATCAATTTCCAAATTTTCCGTGATATTTCTATATTTTCAATGCGTTACCTCATGCTTTGATTTCAAGAAACTTTTTAACACTACCATGAGTGCTCAAAATCACCTTGAAATTTGCATTCAAAAATAAATTTTCAATTAACTATTTAAGAAAGAATATTTCATAAGAACCATCGTTAATATCCCAAAATTATGTTCGAATAATCAATAAAAGAGTGTTGAAATGTATTGTGTCTAATTACTTCGAATAAGTATTTGATTTCATTAGATTGAATGACAGCTTTGCTGTCTAAATAGCTATTAAAAGTAAGTTAAATGTTAAGTAAAAGATATAAAAGTTGTATCGCGTTCTCTACGCGTTATTTGTTTTAAGTATTATAACTTTATATATGGCAAAACTATATCGAAAATTAAGTACCTAATATTATAATAGTTCCCATCCAAAAGCAGAAAAAGTAAAACAGACTTTTTGGATCTTTTAATGTAGGAATGCTTTCGACAACACTTTGTGACAACTTCAGAAACGTTTCAAGAGTGTAATTAAAAAGACGAAAGTTTTAATAATTTAAAGAAATGACTGCTGTTAAAAAGATTTGGATTCAATTTGCATTCGTCTTCATCGCAATAGTAATTGCAATTTATTGGAAAACTATCACAAGAAAGATAGTAAAGGGAATAAAACGAATCAGTTCTTCACCATTGAATGATGTAAGCACTTTAAAATATTGGGGAATTTGTTTAAACAATTGGAATAAAAATGGAAATTTACGAACAATGGATCGCGTGTTTTATCGTCTTGGATATGACGATGTAGATGGAAGTGAAGGCGAAGAATGGGATGTTGCATGGAGCATTGAATATCCATATCAAGATGAGACCTCGGATACATTTGATCCATTTTTTGAGGATCTGAAACCTCATCAGAAGTTCAATCACTATCCAGGATTACCGTTTATCACAAACAAAGTTTATGTAACAACACACAACCAGGATTTAAATTTTATTTTGCCATCATTTGCGTTACCTGAAATGTATGGCGAATTACAAGAGTACATTAAAAATAATCCACAAAAATTACTGGTGACAAAGAATATGTTTAATCGTGGAGTGAAAATTGTGGATAAAAATGACATTCAAAACAGTACAGAATTTCAATTTTTCCAAGAATTTGTTGAGAATCCTATGCTAATTGATGACAGATTCTTTGACCTCGGAGTTTTCGTTGTGACTACATCTGTTGATCCATTGAGAGTTTATCGTTATACAAGAGACATTTTAACAAGATTTTGTCCTGAGCCTTATTATCCATTAGATCATTCAAACACTGGTCAATATGTCGTCGATGAAAGTCACATTCATTACACAGAAATGCCTTCATTTAAACGATTCACTAAAGACTATGGATTTTCATCGAAAGCAGCATTTGAAGCTATACTAAGAGAGAAAAATCATAATGTTGATGATTTATGGACGAAGATTGACAATGCAATAACTACATTACTGATAAGAAATGAAGAGAAAGTGGTTGATGAGGTTCTTGAATATATTATAATTTTTTCATATCAAGATAAAAAAATTTAATTACAGATTGATTATTACGAGTTCGGAAAAGAAAGAAATAATTTTGAATTGGTTCGATTCGATTTTGTAATAAATGACAATTTTGATATTTTTCTCATGGAGGTTAATCAGAGTCCAAATTTGACTCCAATGTTTGATCGATTTGAACCCAACGCTTTAATACATGAGCAGCTTGTGTACGACACTTTAGTACTTGTAGGAGCAGGCAGTTATCTTGATGTAATGTCATGGTAATGGAAAAAGTTTAAAGAAAGTTTATTTATATTATTGCAAACACATCTTAAATTATTTTCTAGTTATAATGACAAAGCAGATGAAATGATTTCAAACTCAAGGAACATTGCTGTCAACATCGAAGAATGTGCGAGAAATGACTGCAAAAATAATCCTACATTGAAGGAATGTGAATTGTGTTTAACATCTCTCAGCAAAGAAAATATCACATACTTTCACCAAGCTGCTCGAGAACATGATCGAAATAGAGGTTTTGTAAGACTGTTTCCAGCTTGGACATTTTTTGAAGATCGTGTGATAAACGAACAATCACTTAATAATCAAATTTCCTTGAAATGGTTTTTTGAAAAGTGTAAGGAAAGTGAGTCATGGTGTTAATATGAATTCCTGGTGAGAAATTTAACTGTCTGAATATATCCTCTATTGACTGAAAAATTAGGAAGACTTAAATAAAACGAATATTGTGAATTGATATTCAATTGAATTGATTAAACATGAATTGAAAAAAAAGTTTATTAAAAAATATATTAAAAGAAAAATTTTCCAAAGCATTTTCACACATAATTGACAATGGAATGTTTTATCTCTATTAAATTATGCAAAAAGAGTTAAATATGAAACCTCCCAAGGAGCTGTAACTTATCTAGTATTATAAATAATAATTGAAAAAAATTGATTAATGGGCTCTGATTCAAAATGCATTTAAATTTAATTGTGAAAGAAAAAAATGTATGATCAAATGAAAAATTTTAATCTTTTCGTTCAGCTATTGAATTTAAAAAAGAACTTTCAATGTTTTAAAGTGTTTGCAAACTGTTTCCATGCTACTACTACGTCATAAAAATTCAACATTTGACGTTTTTTGTACTAGCATAAAAATCAAGAATGACTCACAACCAACAGTTACAAACATGCATAAATAATTTACGTGGAAATGCGTGACTTCAATCTTCTCAAAAGTGACTCTTATGCCATTTATACGAACCATAAAACTTAAAGTTAGCCGCATCACTTTTGTTATCAGCTTCGATTGGCCCACGACTGCCATAAACATATTTTATGGGCTCAATTTTTTCTCTTTCAATTGTATGTAAGAGGGGAGTGAAAATTCTCCACGCTTCGCTTAATTCATCTGATCTTACAAAATGCATTTGACTTCCACAGAAGACATCGAGAATGAGACGTTCGTAAGCATCTGGAAGGACGACTCCTTGGTAACGATGCTGATATGTTAGATCAAGTTCAGTTTCTTCCATATCGAAAGTAATTCCGGGAGTTTTTGTCATCATTTTTATATATAAAGCCTCGCCAGGTTGCACACGAATCACAAGCTCATTTCGTTTTGTTTTTCCACCGAAAATATCACCAGCTACGTCATGATATTGAATTCTGACTTCAGCCTTTCTTTCATTCAACGCTTTTCCACACTTTAAGATGAAATTTACTCCATCCCATCGTTCATTGTTGATTCTCATGACTGCCATTGCGAATGTTGGCGTATTTGATCCTTCGGGAACAGTTTTATCATCTAAATATCCGAACTTCTCATCACCTTCACCCTCAGGGTTGCCGATATATTGTCCAAGAACAACATCATTCAATGTGATCGGTTGGATACATTTCAGAACTTTCACTTTTTCATTACGAATATCATCGGGATGAACTGACGCCGGTTTCTCCATCGCTACAAGCGACAAAATTTGCAACAAATGATTTTGCATAACATCTCGAATGATGCCAAATTCATCGAAATATCCACCACGTCCCTGCGTTCCAAAAGGCTCTTTAAATGTTATCATAATCGATGCGATATTCTGACGATTCCATGTTGGATTAAATAATTGATTTCCGAAACGAATTGTCATCAAATTTTGAACCATTTCCTTTCCCAAATAGTGATCAATACGATAAAGTTGATCTTCAGCGAATAATGATGACAAGTGATCGCTCAACACTTTCGAGCTTGCTGAATCTTTGCCAAAAGGCTTCTCAACAATCACTCGAGTCCAACCTCTAAAAATAAGGAAATAAAATAATTACCTAAGTAAAGTTTAATGAACTCAAACGATTCGTCAGAGTTTGTAAATAGTTTTGAACTTTTTTACATTTCATTTCCACTTACTTATTTGCCATGCACGTGTTACGAATGTGAACGGTGACCGTATCAAAAACTGACGGCGGCAAAGCTAAGTAGAACAAGCGATTGGCTCGTGAAAGGTTATCAAAGTTTGATAACTCTTTGTTTAGCAATTCAAAATCACGACGTTCCGTGTAACTTCCTGCAACATAGTAATTAATCTTCCAAAACAGCTCGTATCGTTCCTTCTCTTCATTTTTTACTTTCATATGCGGATCGCAACGTTCACGAAGCTCATTCACAGTCATTTTAGTTCGTGCATAACCGAAAAATGTTGTATTTGGTGGAAGTAATCCATCGCGGTAGAGCCACCAGAGCGTGGGATAAATTTTCTTTTTTGCGAGGTCGCCCTACAAATTAAAAGACAAAACATTGCTCATAAATTTAGACTTTCGAAAGCGTTTTTTTTTGTATTGTTAAGAAATATTTGAAACTTACTGAAGCTCCCATGACAGTGAACAAATGAGGGTTTTGTGAATCCCAACATGTGCCTTCAGTATCAGCCATGATATTCGATGTCAGATCGTCACGAATAAGATCAAGTGTACGCTGAGTGTTCAACGATGGGCTGCTTTTGTGCATCTGATTCAACAGAGTTAATTTTTGCGAGACTATTGGAAATTAGGAAAAAGCATTTTAGCATTTAGTAGATTAAAAATAGAAAAATGATCAATGTTGACCTTGTGTAACGCATAAATAAATTGTCATTCGTTTTAGATTATTTACGACGTTCACTTTTGATCTCAATACATGTCACTTGTTATGCTTAGAAATTGAAACGATCTAAGTACAAAAGTAGTTGTAAAACGCACTGAAAGCATTGAAATGTTGTGGTTGAAATTGCAACTTAACAGAAACTGAAAGCGATTCGCGTGAACACTTCAGGTCACGTTGTTTACATTAAAATTTATTGAGCAATTAATCACGGTCGTTACGGATGTTAGAGAAGCTTTTATAAAGGAGCCGAAAGTTTAATTTACAAATCTATGTAAAGTTCTCGGTCAGTTATTAATCATGTCATTAACTAAGGCAAATGAAAAGCAAACTAAACTTTGTTAAACAATGAAGTTAAATAGTTTTGCAATTTATGAAATTAATCTTCAATAAGCACGAATTTTCTTGTAAATAAATCATCGTTTCATGTCAACATGAGAAAGATGGCAAGAAATTACCAAACGAGTTGTACAACTCAATGGCTTCACATGAAAGATTCTCAAATACTTACATACTTTCGAACCCTTTCTTTATTTCATTTGCTTCGCTTCTTCTCGTCTTGCAAAAAGAAATATTCTAAAAATCTTCTTCTTAGATTAAAGACGTTCTTTGACGTAATAGTTAAGCTGATACTTTGTTTAGACAGCGACTTAATAAATAAAACAAAAGAAAAATTCTGTCTCGTCACCGTGATTCCTTTACCTTTTCTTGAGATATCAGACAAAACTTTACTTTTTATTCACTAACTTCAGACTGAAGTCGATTACCTTATAAGTTATAAGTTATAACAACAAAAACTCTCTCGCGATAAGATCTTTGTATTTAAAATGTTTTAACTTCACTGATAAAACTCGATAACGATACGATGACCAACGAAAGCCATTTATGTGTTAAGAAAGCAAAATAAAAACAAAATATAAAACAAAAATTACGCGTTTAAAGCACTTGTTAAATCGCCAGACTCAAAAGTGATACTGACTTTGCCGCTTTCGTACATTGCGTTAATATTTCTCTCCGTTTACGCGACGATAAAAGTGAAGCACGTGAAGAGAAATATATTTAATTGTGGTAGTACTCCATTCATTGAAATATTGAAAAACATAAAATGTTTCATGTACAAGCAGTTAAAGGCTACTTAACTCATTAAAATTAGCGAAAGTGTTAGACATTCCTGTTAACGCAATTGAGTCGATTCTAAAGAAGCAATTGAATTTTTTGTTTTCATTTGTTTGTAAATGTGCTTGATGACATAATGCTCGAGCAATGAATTTGTAATTTGTTATCATAAAATGACCTTGAATGCAACATTATATAATTTCACGATCGTAAATTCACAATCATTAGGAAAAGAAGAAATAAAAAATAATAATTGTTTAATCATCCACGTATTTAGCTTCTACTTTCTTGTAGTTTCTTCATAAAACACTGAAGTTCAAGATACAAAGTCACTTGACGTACATTGATGACGTGATCATGGAGATCAATAGTTCATTCAATAGAATAAAAGAATGTTAAATTAATATTGAAATGTATTGACTTACCGTTAGACATGGCTCCAAAATCTTCACCACTTGACGCAAATAGATAATGATAAACTGAGATTTCGTTTTTTTTTTTTATTAAACTTTCAATTCAAAGTCTAAAATTTCAGGGTCTAAACATTCACTCGTAGAGTAACGTAACTTCACGTCTTGACTCGATCACAACTTCCAACGAAATGGTTTTGATGAAATTTTATTACAATTAGTAGCTAATAACTCGCGAATATATCAGAAGCCTGCACTAAACTGATGTTCAATAAAACGAGACAATTTCACGAAATTTAAGTATCGCGTTTTCTTTTTTTAATAAGGAACTCAAACTGTTACGGAGAGCTTCTGACAACGAAATGATTATTAGTTTCTCTTTGGGAGATTTCACTTCACCCAACTTCGCCAAAAAAGTAACTAACACTATTGTCCTAAGGTACGATACGTCAGAGTTCCAACAAGTTTCATTGTTTTCAATCAAAAATCTAAAACGCCGACTTTGCATACACTAATTTAAAATCTAATCAACAATGATGAGACAACAAGAATATGATATCAGCTAGCTGAAGCACAATACCATTGATTAAATAATAGATTTTTATTAAAGAAGATTTACTCCAAGAAATTAAAAGTTTGTTTTGTTGTGTGTCGGTATTTGAATAAACTTTGTTAGTGAATGTAAAAATTTACAAAACATCATGTGTATAACAACGCCACCTATATTTGAATAGAATAAATAAAACTCAAAATTCTGTTTTATTGCCTAAATTAGTGGTCAAAATTATATTAGGTGATATAGTCTTTCTAGATAGAAATGATATCATTGTTAATGTCAATTTAATCAAACAAACATTCAAATTTATTAGGATTCGTATCTTCTTTTTCAAAAACTTTTTAGCGGTTATTTTCAAAATTCTTCTTTTCGGAAATGTGTCTTCTCAGAAGTTTTTCACTTCAACAACTTTGTTTACCAAAAATAAGAAACAAGAAAATTTAATTTAGGTAGTTCTTCTTTTGTCAGAATGAATAAAATAGTTTTTTGTCGACTTTGCGACATCCAAAAAGGATTTGATAATTTTAGAATTGAATAAGAACAAGTTCAAAGGACATCATACTCAGTTTTTCTAAAATCGAATAAGTTTCTTCCACAAAGAGTGTGTAAATTCACAACAATGAAGTCTTAGCGAAATTTTCTTTGAAAGTTCAGAAATCACAATTAAAATTCTTCAATGATGATTCGATGAGGATGATGATGCAAAGAAAGATATCGCCAGTTTATAAATAACATGACAGATTTCCTTAATTTTTAGGATCTGTTATTTTGCTATTTTGTTTGCTCAAAGATGTTCTATGATTGTCTTTTACTTGTCAATTATCATAGAACTCATGCAAAAAAATATTCAAATTTTAATTCTTTGTTTTATTTGTGGAATTTATATGAAGTCGTTTGAAGAGATGAAAGTTCATAAAGCTCATCATCTCATGAAAGATGGTCTGAAAATGCACAACTCTGTGAAATCATGCATCAAAGGTTTCATAAAAATCCGAGCAATAATATGATAAATCTGCTAGTATCTGAAGATGAAGGACTCACAGGAGGATCTGTCACAGATAAATGTCAAGAAAGACTTGCTGATGATTGCACTTTTGGAAGATATGAATGTCTGACATGTTCCCTTACTTTTGAAAATCCTCTTCAACTTTTTCTCCATTACAAAACAACGCATTACAGCAGAAAGGAAAGAAAATAAAAAAACGAATGTTATTGATGTAAAATATGTGAAAAACAGAAACTGCACATTCACAGGAATTCTTACAATTTCATCACAATTTTCTTACCTTTCTAAATTATTCTATTGAAAGAAACCATCACAGTAGCTTGAAATTCTCATGCATTTACTGTTTGAATATATTTTGGAATTCCTTTGTTCTCGCAAATCACCGTAAGTAATGTTCATCCAAAATTCTCGTCCATTTATTGTAATCACTATGGTAAAGTGTTAAAAGAATGCACAAACGATGCATTGCACTACAACGCTGAAGTTCTTGATGATAACGAAAAAAATCACAAAGAATAAGATGAAGTCATTAGATTTTCACTTAAGACATGAGCCATTGTATGCAGAAAAAACTTTTAACTGTGATAATTGTGCAATGGAGTGAGTTTGGTAAATTATTATAATTCTTTCAATAAATAATCAAAATATGATTTAAATTAAAGCAGGAGGATCATATGAATATGTTGAAGTAAACTTTAGCCACATTTTATACCGATTTGATGAGTGGTGGATTTACTTTCTCGTAAAACCGTCAGCAGATACATGATTATATGCATTTAAAAATTATTTCGAATAAAAATTCAATAAATTATGTGCTTATGTATTATGTATTTTCGATATTGGATCTGTTAAGAATATATAAAAATTAAAAAAACATTTGTTTATTAGAAAGAAATTAAAATTTTAGTACTTATGGCAACTTGATGGGTCATTGAAGACATTGCAAAATTTCCTTATTCAAAGTGTAATTCAATTCAGCAAAAACTGAATAAGATCAATTAGTTTATCATTATGATTATCAATTATGGCGTAAAAAGCATAAAATTTTAACAATACAGTGAAATATAAGAAGTGGTCTTATACAAAATTCGCACCACAAAACACATTTTTGTCTATCACTATTCCTTCTGTAGATAAAGTTTAACTTTTTTTTGATAAAAAGGTAAGTTTGAAAGAGAAGAATAATTGTGCATCATTTGATTTTTTTTGCAGCTTCTCATTCTTGAATTTTTACTATAAATAAGGGTGGTCTTATAGATACTTCTCGCAGTGTATGTCATGAAGACACTACAATAAAAAGATTTCAAATCAAAGACTTTATCAACATCGTTTTAATAATACGCTTTGAAAAGAACAAAAATAGAAAAAAGAGAAAGAAATAAATTAATTCCAATGCATGTCATTCCTTACCAACCGAAAGCTTGAAATTTTCACATCTTTTTCTAAAAACATTGATCTAGCTTCTTTAACTTTGATATCACTTAATATGTGCTGTAAAAGAATTATAAAAATAAATTAATCAAATCAATGAGAAATGATGGTCGTCAAATATTTTCATTACAAGCGCAAGTATTACAAGGAAAATGGCGATGTTTGTAAAATAACTCCAAAGAATTAATCTATATTCTCTCCAACTTCTACTTATATTAATTATTTTAAAAGCTTTTGTCATGTTATCAAGCAGAGCTACAAGCTTCCATATTTCGTGTCGATAGTATAAAGTCGTAATCATTGAGAGACTCGATGTAAAAAAACCAAGAAGTACCGACAAAGATGATCGAAATGTGGTCAGTATGGAGGAATTTAATGTGAGCATATGAAATGAAATTCAAAGTAGGCAAATGATTAACTAGTTCACTAGGTGTTATAATCAATAATATCATCTTTGTATTTTTTAATAAGTAATTACAAAAACATTATGCGGCCCATGACAAATGGAAGAGTCATTGGTGAATTTTTGTAAATAAAGTTTTCAAGTGCGTCAATGTCTAATGGACCGACGATTGTGTTTCGTTTATTTTCACCAATCATTGTAAAACCATCGCCACCACCTGCTAAGAAGTCTGGCATTGCTAGGCGATAAAACTTTTCATCATCGATTGGTTCGTATCGAGGGACATCACAGACACGACAGAGAACGTCAAGTGACACAATTCGATTATTTGCTTCATTCGCCATGTTATAAACAACTTTAAGTCCCGACACTTGTAAGAGAATCAAACTTTCATTATTTGCAACTGAAAACTCCAAAGATTGTCTGATAAACTTTCCTTGAAGTTCAATATTATGAACAGAATTCTCGAAAGGAGTTGTTGTAATTATATCTCCATAAACGATGTCACCTCGTGATAAACCAGCACGAATACCTCCAGGATTTACCAATGCAATCGATGCACCTGTCCAACCTTCATTATCTGGATTATTATGGAGAAACTATAAAGAAGTTTTATAAGTTTTATGAAATCTTTCGAAGTAAACATTTGAAAATTATTACAGCATAAGCGTAAGTGTCAGCCATTAAGTTTCCCATTGGACATTCTTTTGAATAACAACGATTCCTGGGGATTTCATATTTCGTATCGCCAATATGTCTGAATATCACTTGATCCACAACAACCTTCCAAGGAATAAGTTCAGCGAGAATTTCAGGATCTTGTGGAATGTCGTGACTCATATAAATAGGCGATCCCTCATAGTCTTGTATTTCACCAGCTTCATCGAAGTACAATGTAATGTCTCCAAGATATTTATTGTAAGCAGAAGCTTGCACAATTAGAACATCACGTCCATTGTCTTGTTTCTGTATTGTTGGGTATGATGAAACGACACCATCGGGGCCTGGTGGATTCTCCCCAGACCACAGGAAGGAATGGCTGTGCCCTCCGACAATGATATCAATTGGACCTCCATGAACCGCAATCTCTCTGTCAGGATCGAGACCACAATGTGATAAGACAATAATTATATCAACACCTTCTGATTTTAATCTTTCAGCTTCAACTTTGACCGCTTCCGCTTCAGGTAAAATATTGAGTTGCCCCCAATTTGATCGGAAAGTTGTTGTCACACCAATGATACCGATTGGTCTGCCATATTTTGTTATCACCATTGATTTTGTGTACATATTTTGAAAGGTTGGTTCAAGTGTGTCGTCAATATTAGAAATTAAAATCGGCGAGCGACTGGCTTCGAGAAATGGAACTAATCCTTCAATCCCATCATCAAACTCGTGATTACCAATAGTCTACATAAAGATTAGATAAATTCTCAAGTATCTACCATTTGTCGATGATAAGCTTCTCACCATTGCATCAGCCGGTAAAAGGTTCAACATGTAACTGGTGACATTCCATCGAAACATGTTGTACCACAAAGTGCCTTGGAAATTGTCAGCAGCATTAAGATAAAGCGGATTCAGTGCAGCTTTAGTTTGCAGCAACTCCTTGACTTTTGTTACAATTCTCGCATATCCACCAATGCAATCATTGTTACCAGGCTTACAAACATTCGCCTCAACATTTGATTCATCAAAACGTGCATGCATATCATTTAAATGAATTATAGTGACAGGAAATAATTCCTGTGAATTTGCATTTATGATTAAAATGCTTGTCAAGACAATGAAAACTTTTAATTCCACTAACATGTTTACTTATTGAGTTTGAAGTATTAACTACTTCATTGTAAGTATTAATAGCAGATTTGAAGTCATTGTCGCTAATATTTGATAAAATTTTCTTATCATTTTGATTTTTCAGGTTTGTTGTTTAACAAGAAATAAATTTTTGGCATGGAAATGAGAACAGAAGATTTTTTAGTTAATAAGTGAACATAATCGTGTTTATGTAAGTGGATAATGGAAAAGATTTAATAACGACGTACATAAAGAAATTATTTCGAAAATCAATTTAATGCAAGTTTTTTTAAAAAGATAAAGGAATTGGAGAGTAAAATTTAGGGGATTTACGATAAAGAAAGCTTATCTACAGGAACCGGAACATACTTTATCAGTAATTATCATTTCCATGAAGAAAATAAGAGTGATAAAGTTAAATTATTGGACAATTATTATCAAACCTTTCATTTGTTGATAAGAAATATCAAATTTATCATGAACTTTATATTTGATTTAGTCCGTAGAGGCATTAAAAAGATAACAAATATCGAGTTATAAAAGGTAAATCCAACCACAACGTAAATCATTAATTTTCAGTGTGGAGAAGGTGAAACTTGAAAGTTTTCGTCTCTATTGTCAAAATATAAAAAAAAATTCAATCTTTTGTGAAAATTATAACTAAATTAAAAAGTGAACAGTTTATATTTGATACTTTGATTCATAAGCAGTCCTAAGTTGATTCAAGTAATGTATTTAATTCATAAATTCAAGCTTCATGAATTTGAAAATATTTTTTACATTTAAACAATTTAATTTTATGTCATATGCTGCTTGAATTAATTTAAATGATAACTTTCGACTATAAAAATTAAAGTTCACGCCCATTTGAAAATTTTTGAATTAATTGCGTCATTGTGAATTTCTAGGAAAAAGAAAAAAGTTTTTATCAATATGACTCAGTACTTGTGCAACTTACAGAGTTATAGAAAATCCAAAACCATCCCCATTTTGATTTTGCCGAAAAATAAGTAGATAAAATTTCAAAATTAACTTTTTTACTTTCATGTTTTTCTAAAGATTTTCAAAATGAAAGAATTAATTTCTGTCGTCAATAAACTGCAAGACGTATTTAACCAAATTAATGTTGCAAACACATTTGAGTTGCCTCAAATTGTAGCTATTGGAAGTCAAGTAAGTCAACTTCGCTATTTTATTTCAAAAAATATTTAAAATATTGTTTTCAGAGTTCAGGAAAATCTTCAGTTATCGAATCAATTGTTCGTCGTTCATTCTTGCCTCGTGGAACTGGCATAGTTACTCGAAGACCTCTGGTTTTGCAATTAGTCAAGACTTCACCAAATTCTGAACAAAGCGAAGGTAATAAAAATATTTTTCCACATAAAAATGACATCATTTGCGATAACTTTTTCAAATTCTATGACTCTGTAAAATTCATATGAAGAATGGGGCGAGTTTTCACACAATGAAGAAAAGTTCACGGATTTTGATGAAATTTGTAAAGAAATTGAACAAGAAACTGACTTTGAAGCCGGAGAAAACAAAGGAATTAGTGATAAACCAATAAATTTGAAAATTTTCTCCCCTCATGTTGTTGATCTGACTTTGGTGGATCTTCCAGGATTCACAAAAGTTCCAGTAGGCGATCAACCCGGGAATATAGAAAGGCAAATTAAAAAGCTTGTGTTTCATTACATTTCGAACCCAAATAGCATCATATTAGCAGTTTCTAGTGCAAACGCAAATATTGCAACAAGTGAAGCAATAAAATTTGCAAAGGTAGTTGATCCGGAAGGGAAACGAACTTTGGGAGTTCTTACAAAACTTGATTTGATGGACAAAGGCACCGATGCAACTGCCATGCTAAAGGGAGATATTATTTCAATGAATTTGGGAATAGTTGGAGTTGTTAATCGATCACAACAAGATATCATTGACAAAAAAGGAATTACAGAACAATTGAGAGATGAAGAAGAGTTTTTTGAGAAATTCTACCCGAAATTAGCGAAACAAAATGGAACTCCGTATTTAGAAAGGTCATTGAGTGAACGATTAATAAATCATATTAAGGAATGTTTACCGGAATTGAAAAAACGAATTAAAGATAAACTTTCGCATTATGATCAAGTAAAGCAATCATATGGAGAGATGATCAAAGATGGAGACGACAGTATGCTTCTTAAAATCATCAATATATTTGTTTATCACTATCGAAAAGCTATTGAAGGATCAATTGAATACGACACAAGGATTTATAAGATTTTACATGAGAAATTTGAAAATTCACTGAAACTGATTAAACCGGAAGTAGAATTTATAGAGAAGATTGACATTGAAAGTTTATACTCTTCAAGTCTTCGTCCAACTCTTTACGATGATCCTAGTTTTGATGCTTTATTTCAAAAAAATGTGAAAAAGTTCATTAAAGAACTTCGAAATCCTTCATTGCATTGTATCGAAATGATTTTAATGGAAATGAATCGAATTATTGAACATTGTGGCAAAGTAATGGAAGCACATTTCACACGATTTCCATATTTACAGAAGGCAATTGTTGATGAAATGAGTGAACTTATTGAAAGTTTCCGACAAAACACTAAGAAGATGACTGAGAATTTGATTCACGTTGAAGTTGCATACATTAACAAGATTCATCCAGATTTTGATAAATCACCAGTGAATCACTCTAATGTTATCAAAGATTGGAAAGACATTAATCGAGTGTTGAAAAATGGGGATAAAAATAACGAAATCAGAAAAAAGAGTTCATTAATTCTTGAAAATCTTGTGACATCTTATTGCAATATTGTTCAAAAAGATATTCAAGATTTCGTGCCTAAGACCATTATGTGTTTTCTCATTAACAATGTTATCGAAGAAGTTGGAAGTCATCTTATCACAAATGTCTACAAAGCAAGAAATTCATCAAATTTATTAACAGAGGCAAAACACATTGAATTGAAACGCAAGGAAGTGAACGAAATGCTTCAGGTAATTATGAATAATTTAATTGAAGATATCTTATGAGTATTAAATTGCAACCAAATTAATCATTTTTTTAGGCTTTGCAAGAGGCTAATAAAGTCATTGACAGCATAGATATAAATTTGGGTTCTACCAATGCGAAGCATTTGGAAAACGGAGATATCTAACAAATATAATATATAATTTTATTTTTTGTATGAAACGATTTTGGATTGTTGAATAAAAATAAACAAGTTTAGTATTTACCTAGTTAAAAAATGTTCGGTGTGTTAAAAAATTTTTGTCAGTTAAATAGAGCTTTTGATCATCAAACAAAGATGTCGCTACTCATATAGATCATTAGTCGAAAATTAAAAATATTTTGGAAGAAACTCTTGTATAAGAAATCGAATCAGACGATTGAAAATTAAAGAGGATTAAAAAAAGAAATAAAAGTTAAATGAGAGAACTGAAAGCTTTAAATTCACCGCAAGATTTTTCAACTGCAAACATGATGAACTCTATAGGAAGCAAAAGAAGATCGTCATTGGCCTTTACCAGCCATCAGAAGAAGAATGCAAAGTGTCAGGTATTGAAATCCCTCCAAGCTACTCAGAAAACGATTCAGAACCGCCAACTGTGATTCCACATTTCTGGTTCTATGTCCTGAAGCATGTCAATGCTAAATCTTTCATTTGAAAACAGTGAATTTCCTTCTGCCTTGTCATTCTTTGAAGCAGATTCTTTCTTTAATTTCTTCAGCCCACCTGAAATGAAAGCAGGAAGCTGAACAAAATGAAGTCAATCTTTTACTTAAATTTTTAATTGAGCTTTTAATTCAATGTTCTTCTTCTCAAAGACGTATTTTGAAAGTGATTTGGAAGTAGGACATTATCTAAAAAATTAATTTCAATCCAGATGTCAGTGATTACGAAGTTGGAGATGGAGAACCAAATGTCGGTGACAATTAATTCAACCATTTTAAGTAACAATATAATGAAAAATTAATATTGCACTCGACTTACCTGATTCTGGCATTTCCATTTTACAAGAATTTCATTTGATTTTCACATTTCATCCCACGTAACTTTCAGGCTGAAAACCTTCTGCATTCAACAGCTTTGCTGAATAATTTAAAATTTTACTCCATTCATGATGATTGATTATCAATAATGTTAATTAATGTAAGATCGATGAGATTGATTTTCCAATTTTATTTCAATTTTTAAACAATTTCAATTTTTTTCATCCGAAAATTATTCCACTTTAAACTAATTTAAAAGTTTTTTTTCATAAAGTTTTGCAAACATTTAAAATTTCTCAACTCTTTCCTTATTTCTCTTGAGTCTTTCACAATCCTTTTCTTTTCCTTTTTAAACATACCTAAAATATTTACTATAAATAAAGCAAAGTTCAATGGAATTTTCCCACATATTTAATGAGCTTTACATTTCTCACTGACAAAAGCATCAGAAATGTGTGCATACACAAAAACGAAAACATAAACAATCGCGCTTTGAGTGAAAATGAAAAGCAAATTTTAAGCGAGAATTTGTTTTTGCTACAACCGCAGTCGAAGCATTTCCACCGAATTTGCTATTCAAATATTTTCCCCATTTAAATTTGTAAAACATTAAATTTTAATGTCAAATTTCCCAGCACTTGAAACAAACAATTTCCGATGGTTATTTATCATGTTTTATATGTGAAAATTGTGCACATACTCAAATCTTAACATTTTCATAGAACTCAATACTAACAACATCATTTTGCATTCAGTGATCATGAGAATGTTCGATTTAAAACAAATATCGATTCAACGACTTTTCTTATAAATTATTTACAGTTAAATGAACGCTTTTATAACATTTGATGTCCACTTTTGACAGAATCATCTCCACCTTCTTGGTTTTATGAATTATTTCACAAAAAAAATTATTTCTTTAACTTTATTGACGTTTCCATCTCATTCTCTTCTAAACTATTTACGAAGATTAAATGATTGAAAGTACGAAAACTCAAAGAGATTCTCATACTATTTTTTCATTATTCATTTTGTTATTTGTTTACAACTTCATTTATGTTACAAACAGAAAAAGAAGACATTGGACAAACAAACGATAGCAATTTGTTTTGTTTTTATTTTCGTCTAAGAATCTGAAGTTGGTATTGAGACTTGAACTGGAAATTTCTTTCATTTCGATAAGGAAAATTTGACATTTCTTTAAACTTTCTAATTTATTTGCTTTAATTATGTTCAATATAAGCGATAGATAATCAAGCATTTAATGTTTATGTTATTTATAGAGATGTTCTCATTAATTAAATATATTAAATCGATAGAATGCCGTAGTTATCATAATTAAGCAGATATTGAAACATGAGCCGAAATCAAAATTCATTCGTTTATGTTGTTATTGTTTTAAGCTTTTACTTCATTAACTCTTTATTTATTCCAACGCAACTCAAAACATACGCTCTCGTTAATTTCATTTTTCATAACATTCACAACATAAAATCGTGGTATCGAAAATCACTGAAACAATCGAAGTGAACATACAGAAATAACTCGTTATCGTTGAATAAAATATTCATCAAAGTTTGCTTTTCACACACAAAATGCTCCGAGAAATAATGTTGGGCGAACATCATCTGGACCCACCACAACTCATATTGTATTTATATGTTTCGGTCAATAACATATTTATTGTTGTGCTGTGAAACGAGAAACAAAAAAAAGAAGCAAAAAAAACTGAAAATAAAAAAATTTTGAAATTAATTTTCTGTTGAATGCTTAAATCAGTGAAATAAAATTTCATATTGAAGTAAGTTATTTAATAAAAATAATTGACGAATAAGGCCGTAACAATGAAGAAAATAGTTTTGAATGAAAATTGACTGATTGTGAGAATTTAAAGTCATAGAACCTGTGAGATGACCTCCTGTTGAACTGAAATTTCCTATTTTCATACCTGATGAACATACCTCGATAACTTTAACTTGTGAATTTTTCAATAAACGAGGGCTGTTGAAACACAACTTCGAGTATATTAAATGCCATTCGAGCAGAGGGAATCTAAGAGCTTCAAGCGACAATAATGAAAAATTATAAATTTACAATGAGAAATTTCATTTGATTCTTAAATAGGTCAAAAAGGTGAACAAATATTGTCGAGATGGCATCAGATGACGTTATTTTCCTCGCCATTGACAAATTCATTTAATCTTCTCGTAAGCTTTTGTTGATTTTCTGGGATATAAGAAGCACATCCCAAAAAGTTACCAAAACAGAACAAGAATCGAGATTGTTTATCAGGTAAACACAGGATGACTTCTCGTCCTTTGAGACTTGTTGTGAAAATGCATTTCTCGTTCCCGAAAAATAAAAGTAGATCCAAAACGCTTTCGCTTTGGTTCATGCATAACATGCTACCCCATCGTTCGTTTCGTTTTTCACGAGGTTATTTATTGATATCATCATGGGAAATTTCCGACAGCACGGGAAAATTTATTTTACATCCTGCTTGAGCTGATCGAATTTCGCAACGTAGCCGAGATAAAAAGAAGGAGAAATAAAGCTTACCGGGGAAAATTGTTTTTCTATCGATATCGCTTTTATTTCGTGTGTTTGTGGAATATTCTAGTGCCCTTATTTTTCTATTTTGGATTTTTTTCGACTTTCAATTCACACCAGTGTGCCATCATCAATTTAGATGCATTAAGAAGAAATCTCTTGAAAGGGAAAAATTGATAATTCAATTGTAGTTCTATGTATGTGGCTGCTTTCGCGAACGTTTTGTAGAAGGATTTTTTTCAAATCAAGTGAGTGGTGGCAGCAATAAAATCTTGAAGCTCAGAATGAATTTCATTTCTTTTCTCTTCCCGAATGAAATTTCCTTCTTATGTTTTACGAAGTAAAATAGTGCACTTTGAAGTAGCAACCACGAATCCCATAAAAATATTTTAATGTGATATCTACTCAAGAGAATAAAAATATAAAATTTATTATATGATATTATCGAAAAAAATTTACTGGAGACCAAATCCTCAACTTCTTTCCTACTGATTTTCAATCGTGGAAGAGTGAACAGGGAGTTAATAAAATTATGTGAAATTTTCTTTGTTGGAAAATTTAGAAAAGTAGTCAAGCAGTTTTTCTACTTGCCAGAAATCAAAGAAAGCGTTTTGATTGAATAGATGATTGATTAGCTTAGAAAGAAGTCTGATGATTTCTTTGAAGAGATGCAATCAAACAGTTTTCATGAAAAGTGAAGTTTTAAAGAAGAATTTCAAAGCGTTAAAATGTCTAAAACATTCTTCAGCCCAATGTTGAATAAAAATAAAATATAATCATCCGTCGCATTCAAGACTTTTCTCATAATCTTTCTAAGTTCTTTAAAGAAATCTTTTTGCAACGATCTAAGATATTTCATTTCGTAAAATATTTCACATCAAACATTAAAAGAAGCTTTAAATCTTTAAAGAGTAGACTTTCATGCAATGCTCTAAACTTCATATAAAATCCATAAATATCAACTATGTAATGAATAAAACACGAATTGGAAATGTATACCAAAGTTTTCTTTAAATTTCAAATAAATAAATATTTTTCTATGCACAACACACATCAGCATTTTATTAGAAAAAGTTTATCGTAAATCTCTCGCTTGGGAAATCGCGTTTGTTCTACTTACTTTAGAGTTCCCAACATATCATATAAAAAAGCTCTTGATATTTATAGCTTTGTGCGCCAAATTAAAACGAAATCATAAACATTAGTCGAGATCCAAGTTTATTATCACTCGAATAAATTCTCTTTAATTATCCCCAAAAATATAAAACTTTGCTTAATTTTCGTATCCACTTGAAACATATTAAAAAAGTGTTCAACTCATTTGAGGATTGCAAATGAAATGAACTGCAGCAGAATGCAGAAAGAAAAAGTTTTTAATTTGAAAACAGTAGAAATGCAAGTCAAATAAACATGAATGCGCATAAATCAAAACATGAACATATGTACATTGTGCATGTAAAGCTCGTCCGATTTATTCTTCTACTCAATATTCCCTTACAAGCATATCTCTCGTGAAAACGGGAAGGAAAACTTATTTTGAAGTATCTTTAAGCATCTTAAATCCCTTCTCAATTGCAATAAAGTTGCGTTTTTTTTTTTGAATAATTGAAGAAGTTGAATAAGCAGATTCAACAAGCACATTCAGTTTAATCTTGAATCATCAATAACGTGTGGCTTAAATGTGAAGAAGCTGAGTGTATGAAAGGAAATTCTACAAGGTTGACTCACAACAGCAAGAACAAATCATCTTGAATCTTTTTTTTCCCAGACGCATAGGGCGAATCATCGAAATCGGAAAATCAGAAATTGTATAGACAGAATCAGCTTTCGTTGTCATAAATTTGATCATCTACCCTATTTCCTCGATATTTTAAAAAGTGATGGAGCACAAAGAATAAATAAGAAGCTTTTCATTTTAAAGTATTTGCCAGGAAAAAACGTAAGAAGTAGAAAATTTTCTCAATTGATCAAAGCTCCTTCTAGAGTTTGATTGCAGAATCAAATGAATTGAAAATATTGTAACTAATTATAATTTTCATCTTAGAATATACCTTTCAATAGAATTAATTTATTTTATCTTCGATTAATTTATATTGTTAGAAATAAAGTAAATTTGTATATTTTTAGATAAATCCAACAGATAAGAGGTTGATTTTCCATCAAGATTAGACTTTATGAATTATTCTCCATTTCTTATTTTAAAATCCACCCACTAACTCTGACATTTACTTCCGTTAACCATTTACATAGATAGCATTTCATTATTAAAGAACTCAAAAACAGAAGGTCATGACTAATGACAATCATGACAATAAAGCTCTCAATCACTTATCATCAGAAGAAGTTTCAATTTTACAAATCGCATATAATTGCATATGTGCATATGTGCATAAATGCATAGTTGAAAATTTTTCAAGCTTTCTCAACATTTTTTTTCAAATTACGAAACAATTCTTGGAATAAAAATGAGATGAGAAAAAAGCGCAGCAAATTTTCAAAGAATTTTATTTTCTCTGCAAATGAATAGCGAAATGAGCGATTCATGACAATAATCAGCACATACAAAAGCAGATCACGTTATAACTTCGAGGGTAAAAGAAATTTAAAATATGAGTTCGAGTTTGATATTTGAAATGTTCACCCCGCATTGATGGTCTTGACGTTAAAAGCAAAAAAAGAATAAAAACATGAAGAAAATCTCGGATGAGAAGATGTAGAGACGTTAAGCAGGAAAACTTTTTTATTCGGAATGAGAAATCAAAGAAAGAAGATCATTTCTCGTAATATGCGCGACTTTATGGCACATCTCGTTGCTCTTCGTTTTCGGGTGAAACGGCAAAATGGTTTTTCTGCTTCTTTAAAAGTTTTACAGCATTATACTTTTTTTTTCCACTGGAATAAAATTTATATTCTACATTCTGTTCAGTTAAGGAAGAAAAAAAGTGAATAAAAGGAGAGATTTAAATAATTGAGTCTTTCTGCGGGGGGAACGGGCGACGAGATGAAAGGCGGAGTTGGAGAATGGAAAATATAATAAATGACTGCTTAATACGAATATATTCTGGCATTTCAATTGAATCCGTTGCGCTTCAGCTTCTACTTTAACCGACGTCTCGATGTCCCTGAACGTGTCGTAACAAAGCACCATCATCTCTCCTACTCTTCAGCGTTCATCGTCGTCTCGTCACCAGAGATGTTGAAAAGAAAAAAAAATCTTGTGACAAGTAAAAAGTTAAATTGTGTCTCAGAAGTTCCACAAAAAACATCCCTGAATTCTGTTTTGTCTACCATTCCCATTCATAAATCGAATTAAATTTATTTTTAATTTCCTTTTCATTTTTCTTCCCCCTCACGTGCCCAACGAAAAAAGACGAGCTAGTGTCGAGAGAAAGAAAATTGATAGCAGCATTTAACCTGATTTTATTGTTATGTGACTTTTATGTTTAGCTTTTCCAATGATATCTAGAAAAAGTGGGTGGGTTCGGGGGGAGGAAAGGGAAAGGTGCCATAATACATCATATTTCATTTTTCTCTCGCCTTTTTTTCTTTTAACTCAGCACAAATTTGCGGAAATCGATTTTGGCTTTTGTTGTGACGCTTGAATGCTAAAAGCAAAGCAAAACAATTTTCCGAAAAATCTCGGTAACTTCCTGTTCACCACAGAACGATTTTCTCACCATCTATTGCTTCTTTGTGATGCCTGCCTTTTTTATTTTATTCAATCTTGGATTCAATATGTTTAAGCTTTATCCTGGTAGATATACTTACATTTCAACATGTGGTTTAAGCATCTATCTCCGATGTAGTAACCGATTTCAAGGATTTTGTTTTTATTGGGGTTACGTTTGAAGTGGCTTGAAGCGGAATTCCAATGGCCTGGAAGAGATTGAATCTTGGAGATAATGGAACAATTGTTATTAAAACTTTCAATTTAACATTCCATTATTTAAGATTGAATAAGCTATTGTGCAATAAATCATTGAATTAGTTTATTCAGTGAGTTTCAACAATTGTCTCATAAAAAATTCAATTGAAACTTGTTGGCTGATTGCAATGACATTGATTCGATGCTTGCTTGAAATGTAATGTAAAATGCAAGAGAAAAGTAAATTTTAGAAATGATCTGAGGAGATTTTTCCATTCTTTTCTCATGCATTGCATCTATCGTAGACTCCTTAGTTCCACCTTTCAATTATTTTTTCCATTTCATGTCAGTCTTTCTTTCTAATTTGAAAGTGATTGAAAAATTGGCTTTCTTTAAAGCATTCATTCACAGTGAGGAATCTACTTTTCGATTTTTCCTTCATAAAATAAAAAGAATATAAAGTAAAAAATAACAAGAGCTTTAGATCTACGATGTTTGCCGAGCAATGGGAAAAAACACATTTATAAAAGTACCGCTCGCGCTAATTTGCACCCTTGGGGGAAGCGTTAGAATAACGAGAAATTGGATGTTGAAATCGTATTAAAAATACATTTTCTCTGCCTATTAAAATAGCTCGTGTTCATATTATGAAAAATTAATTTATGGTCGCCGCATAAATTTAAAGCAGAGAAGGGAACCGTGGAGAAAAGTTGAAAATTGGATTGCAACGTGAGCGGAATAATCATTTAACAAATGGTAGTCACAGCTTGATGGGTTTATTTGTGGTTTGAACTAGAAAATCTTAAATTTCAATTCATTCACTCACGCCCTCAATATTAAGAACATTTTAGGTGGTTCAATGTTATGGCATTTTATTTTCAATTGCACGTCTTTTGAGTTTTGACACTGCCTGAAAGAAAGAAAGCAAAAGAAAAAATTAATATCGAGAATTGTAAATGATTATGAAGCTTAATAATTGTTATTGTTGAACATTAATTTCACATCTTTGTAATGCGGATGGTGAATGAAGTGGGAGATTAAATCGTTGTATTATTCTGTATCGTCGCAACATTTAAATTTTTCATATTTTTATTCATTCATAAACGATGAATGCAAAAGATGACGAATATTAAAATATTTAAATCTTGCTGAACGAAAGATATTTCTTTGTCTTCGAAATTTAAAATGAGCTAAAAGAAGTTGAACGAAGGTACTGAATGTCATATTAAATGACTTGAACAGCCAGCCATTCCAGAATATTCACCACTTTTTGCTTTTTGCGATATTTTTCAACAACAGAGAACATGCCTTCTCTGAGAATGATTTATTACTATTTAATTAAATTAATATTTACTTCTAGTTTGAAGCTTCACGTTCGTATCTCTATGTTCACTTGCTGCACGAGACACGCTTTCGTATTTCAAACTTAACGAGATGCGCTTTATTTTATTTCCAAGAACAAAGATTTTTTTTTCAAAAACAGCTCACGGAACTTTACTTGAAATGAATTAACATAATTGTTTATGATGAGACGAGAAAAAGATTTCTTCCGCTTATTCCTTTTGTTTTTCCGTTCTGGCAGAATGTTAATTATATATTAAGTTTCAGAACACAACGACGATGAAAAAATAAAAATTTAACCTTACTGTTTGTGTTTGAATTAAATAAAAAGTTATCAAAGTATTCAACAGACCATCTCGTAAGGGACTTGTGTACAATAATCGCTTAAAACAGTTGCAAGCACAAAGTGAACATAAACGGAGAAAATTTGACATTAAAACGTGCTTTAATTAGTTTTGAAGACTTCAAAACATTTCACGAAACCCAAAGAGAGCTCATTGAGATTCAAAGTAATGATGATTCGTCCACTGTGAGTTTAAAGAAAAAGTGTAGAATCTTTTTTCAGCATTTAAGCGGTGAGAACAAAAAATAACTTAAAGTAATTTCTAAGCACGAAATGTTTTGTCTTGAAACAAAAATATTGTGCAACTGAAGATGTCAGAAAGCATTATCTGCCAAAGGAGATTAGTGAGATAATTGAACAATTTCCATTTAGGTCATCATTAAAACAATTTCCCAAGCAGATATTCTTAACGGAGAGAAAAGTTGGAGTGAAGTTTAAAGATAAAAGACTCAATGAGCAACGACATGATTGCTACAAGTTGTATTGTTTTTCAATTAATTATTTACATTCTCAAAGAGATGGAAGAACAAACAAGTGAAAGAATATAATGAAGTGAAATAATAATTGAAGCATTTGCTTCATAAAAACACATAATAAATGTTTTTTTCTTTAGATTATTTCTTGCTTTCTTCTTATGATTTATTTGAATATTTATAAATATATTTTTATGTAAATATACCCTCCAGGTTTCAGAATTTCTACGCANAAGCAGAAGTGGTCCGTATCTAGATACGGACCATGGTGTCATAACTAGCCGAGGGAAGCGAAAAGTGGTCCGCAATTAGCCAAGGCTAGACTAGCAGAAAACATTTAATTGTAGCTTAACTAAACAATATTAAGCTTTCGCCAAAAAACAAAATGCTACCCAAAAGAATGCAGTTTCCATAAGTGCAAGAAATTTCCTCAAATTTTATCCGCCTTCGGAGATATTAATTTTTTTTATAAACCCTCAAAGTGTTAAGCCTTAAGTGGTGTCATAATTGGCCAACCCCCCTATTACTTTACAAATTGACTACGTTTTTAGCTTTTAATGTTGTTTTTATTATACACTGCGAGAAGTATCTATAAGACCACCCTTATTTATACTAATAATTCAAGAATGAGAAGCTGCAAAAAAAATCTAATGATGCACAATTATTCTTCTCCTTCAAAACTTACCTTTTTATCAAAAAAAAGTTAAACTTTATCTACAGAAGGAATAATGATAGACAAAAATGTGTTTTGTGGTGCGAATTTTGTATAAGACCACTTCTTATATTTAACGGTATTGTTACAATTTTATGGTTTTTGCGCCATAATTGATAATCATAATGATGAACTAATTGATCTTATTCATTTTTTGCTGAATTCAATTACATTTTGAATAAGGAAATTTTGCAATGTCCTCAATGACCCATTAAGTGCCATGAGTACTACAAATTTGAATGTTTTTCTAATAAACTAATGTTTTTTTAATTTTTATATATTCTCAACAGATCCAATATCGAGAATATGTAATACTTAAGCACATAATTTATTGAATTTTTATTCAAAATAATTTTTAATTACATATAATCATGTATCTGCTGACGGTTTTACGAGAAAGTAAATCCACCACTCATCAAATCGATATAAAATGTGACTTAAGTTCACTTCAACATATTCATATGACTCTTCTGTTTTAATTTAAAACATATTTTAGAAGATGGTATCTCGATTTGATGGCAAAATGGCCAAAATATCTGAAAGATAATCCATCAAAGTATCGTGTAAACCGAAAAAATTTTTTTTTCACCGTGTATCATGCAAATGGTCACTGAAATTATTAGAAGGGATCAGTTAAGCATGAAATTCATAATTTCAGTTACCATTTGCATGATACACGGTGAAAAAAAAATTTTCAAAATATTTTTTTATTTTACTTTTCTTCCATCTCTCCAGCATGAAACCATTTAATTTTGACGCTGAAGGAGAAATGCCTACATTGTCTTTCTAAACTTTTTCATTTTCTTTTTCAAGTCTCATCTCTAAATAATTTCAGTTTATGATGTGTGTACGCGTTGTTTCTATGTAAANAAATAAGGGTGGTCTTATAGATACTTCTCGCAGTGTAATAGTAACTATCTGTATATTTATACTAAAGGGCCGAAGTATCTAAACTTCACTCTACCTCATGACCAAGTCGGGGTTCGAACCCGGGACGTATGAATTGTACGCTCGACTCCAAGCGACTTAAGCCAATGAGGTTATTTGACCCCTTGCCAACGATAAGTCCAAAGAGACCGATGGCAGATCCGAAGATCTCGACAATTAGGATTTTCACGAAGAGGGCAGAGTTAGCAGCATCAGCAAGTGCAGCAGCCTTAAAAATGATTTAGATGATGCAAATAAAAATACGAAATCAAATTTAGTGTAATGACCCCAGAAAATTTGATCGAGACTGTGACAAATGATGATCGAAAGCTTTCTCAGCGATTGATACATATTTATGTATCTATAAGTTTCAAAATATTTTTTTATTTTACTTTTCTTCCATCTCTCCAGCATGAAACCATTTAATTTTGACGCTGAAGGAGAAATGCCTACATTGCAATTGTCTTTCTAAACTTTTTCATTTTCTTTTTCAAGTCTCATCTCTAAATAATTTCAGTTTATGATGTGTGTACGCGTTGTTTCTATGTAAATATTTTCTAGAAATAGTAAAATATTATGATAACGATAATAAATTCAAAGCAATAAATTCTGCAACATGAAGTGATCTGTCTTGCTTTAGAATAGAATTTTTTATTTGTTGTAACAAAAATTAATGATGAAAAATAAAGCAAGAAAATTCAAACTTCACTGTGTAGAACTTTAAATGTTGAGAAATAATTATTTTTGTCGTCTCTAAAAGATGGAAAGAAAAAATATGTTTTTCATGTGAAGAAAATGAAGAAAATAATAAAAACACTTTGTTGCTTGTGTTTTTTCTTTTACATACATAGAAACTCCAGTCTCCAACTAACTTCCGACAGCAATGTGTGATTCCTAGGAATCCTAAGAAAACTGCAGGAAATTCCACTTTTTTTTGCAGGAAATTCCACTTTGAAAGTGGAATTTCCTGCAAAAGAGTGGAATTTCCTGCAATCTTCCTAGGATTCCTAGGAATCTTAGGAATCCTAGGAATCCTAGGATTCCTAGGAAAAATCTTAATCTAACCTTTAGTTAATCCTGAAATCTCTTAATCCTGCCTGCAATTTTCTTAGGATTCCTAGTATTCCTAAGATTCCTAGGATTCCTATATATAGGAATCCTAGGATTCCTAGGATTCCTAAGATTCCTAGGATTCCTATGCATAGGATTCCTAGGAATCCTAGGAAAATTGCAGGAAATTCCACTGCAGGAAATAGGACCCACTCTTTCACTCTCTCCAATTTTCGTAAGTGAAAGGACTTCATTCTTATTGTTTAGTATTTCATCAGTGTCCGTGGTGTACTTTCAAACTTTAAATTCTTTGCTTACCTTTTGAGCTTTCAGGCAAAATTAAATGTGATTTCTTTCAATCTCTCGTTTCATCGTCTACGTGCTGTTTTAATTATTTTAAACTTCTTTCATTCCTTCTTCTTCTTCTTTCGTCAGTGTACGGTGGAAAAGTTTTTTTTATATAATTCAACCAAGCGCTTTTCTTGAAAATTAATACTGAGCGTAGTCAGGGAGCAAAGTATCTTTAAGAAGGGTGCAGTTGTTGCAATAGAGTTGAGAAATCATAATTTGTTGCGATGGGAAAATTGAAAAGTTTCTTTTTCGAAAGATTCCCTTTTTCCCATGGTGAAAAAGAAATTTATTCTCGTTTGTGCTTCTTACTACAGACTTCCAGTTAACATTTTCACAATTTTTTGTTGTGAATGACAAGAAACTTCGTTCACTTAGCGTTAGCTGTAACTTCTACAAGTTTTAAGCTCAAGTGGAAAATTCTTTAACTAAAGTTGAAAAGCCTCGTTATTCAGTCGATGATGAAAAAACATCAAGCTTTGAACTCAGTCTGAATGGAACCTGTACATAATGTTGTGTTGTGTTCATGATCGTTGAAAATCAAAAAAGTGCCAAGTGTTGATTTAGAATTTTATCATGGAATAGAAGAATCGAGATGAAATTTCGTAATTTTCTGCTTTGAAAGAAGTTTATTTCTGAAAAGCATGACACAAAGCTGTCATAAAAACTTAGGTGGAAAAGTTTGTCAATGTCTTATTAAACAAGATGGTGGGATGAACAGAAAATCATAATTTTAATACAAAATAGAAAGAAATCTTTGTGAATGAGTAAAATCATTCCAAGCCATCACCATCCATAACATAAATCTCATTTACAAATTTCAAATGCTTAATTAAGTTTCAATTCCTTATGTTACATTACAGTAAACTTATCTCATTCATTGTAATGCAAATGTGTTTATGTTTCTGATGCATTTGTCGTTATTTTACTCTCAGGAATTTACTGAATTTTTCAATGTGCAACAAATAATAAAATCTTGAATAAGAAAATTGAATTTGAATTGCTCTCAAATGCAGCACATAACAGACATCAATTACAAAGTGAGACACAAGAAACAAATCCAAAGTTCATTCTAATTGAAATAAATTCAACATTTATTGAAAAGCTGATCACAGTGAGTGAAAATGAAATAAAATAAATTCCTGGAAGGTGAAATATCAATGATAAGTAATGCTTTAAAGGCGAGAGTGGATTATAATTGAACCAGAATAAGTGGAAATATTGAATTAAATGTGAGAATAACTGAAACAAAAATTAAAATCTAAAAGCTTCTTTCATCGAAAAAGATTTTCATAATTCAAAATTTGTTGGAATTTTACGAGAATGGCAAATGAGTCGAAATCTCATAAGAGGAGGTTCATTGGAAAGGCATCCAAGCAAAAATGGAAATTGAATGAAACTGAATCCTTATTGATAAGCAAACAAACAGTTTTCTCTGTTCACATACATATTGCAGAACGAATTAAAAGGAGGTTTTAATGGTGTTGGAATCACTCCAGTTGGAAATAAATTGATTAAACTAAATGTATTCATAAGACTGAATTATTTATTTTTGTAAATTTGGGTTTGATATTTTCACAAAATATTTAAATGTCTAAACGAACAATAAAGAAAAAACTATCGTCAATGAACTGAATTGAATTTAAAGAGAAAGCTTTCGAAACGAAAAGTTTTAACGAGCTGGGAAAATTTCGATATCATTGTAAGAAGCTGTTGAATGCTTATATAAGAATTCTTCGTTTTCTATTTCCATTATATATCAATTTTATTTCAACGCAACAACAAGATGTAGTTTGTTACATCAGAGTTGTTTCACCTCATCTGACGTGAAATGAAAGCTTCACTTTCTTAAAAGCAAAAGAACTTTAACATTTTTGTATAATGCTAAAAGAAAAATAACGAGAACGAGACAAATTTTCACGACGTTAGCAAAATTCCATAAGAATCCAAATGCCTTCGTATTGAACTGAAGAAACGAGTGCGCTCAATATCTCCAATTGGATTATGTGTTTTACACAATTCTCACTCACTCGAAAATTAAGCTCACTCAAGTATGATCCGTTTTCATTCCCCTACCCTCTTCACCCCCATCGTTTCGTTCTCGTGCCTTCAAGCGAAACTGAGTGAAAACTCTTTCATTCTTATGATTTCGGGGAAATTCCCTGTCATCTGTACCAATGGAAATGGAAAATGACTTTTAAGTATTTATAACAAAAGCACAGGCACAGAGAAATGATTCAATCTGCTGCTACTTTGTCAAGATATACAAAAATGAAAAGACTGAAAGAGTAGACATAAATTTAGTTTTAATTAATTTCATCCAAAAAAGTAATAATCACGAGATTTAGAGTTCGATTAATTCTGCGTCGATGAGTTCATATTAAATTAATTCCATTTTTATGACACATTTTTGCATTCAACATTCACAAGATTCATAATAAAAAACCTGTTAATCAAATAATTATTGTCCCACGATGTGTTGAATTTTAAATGACTCAATAGCAGGCAAAATTGAATTATTTGATGCATATAAATAAACTGTCAACAACTTTTCCATTCCAGTAAATATAAATAAACAACACGACAAATTTATTTATTTTTTTATTTTAAATTCACATGTCGTAAAAAAACAATTTTTAAGCTTTATTTAATAAAAAGCTTTTATATGAGCGGAAAGTTTGCGTGAGAAAATGTTTGTTAATTTTTTCATTAAACAAATTCCTAGGTAGGCAAATTTAATCTTCATGTCTGTAAATAAAATTTAATTCTCTTTACTTCTTTAAATTGAATAAAATGTCAAGGTTTATCCATGGTGACGGTATTTAAATAGCAACTGAGTGTATGTTGTAGCAATACGGTTTATGTGCATGTTGTTCGCATATAGAGATGCCAAAGTGTTCACGATAAATATTAAATGATAAAAAACTTACATAGTTTATGCATATATCCACATAAACTGAGATATGAACATTCTGTGCTAGATATCCATCTACAAAGTAAGTTAAAAATATTCTTTCCGCTTGCAATTCCTCATTTTCCTTCGTGCTTGAAAATAAAAAAGAAAATGAAAATAAAAACACGACAGCAATTCAACATAACAGAATCTTTATATAAATTCACGCTTTATTCACCTTCCAAGCAAATTAAAAATTCATAATTTTTGTTTTCATCCCAGTCGGTCTTCAAGACTTTTCAATTCTTTTTACACTCAAATGTGTTCATATTTTGTTTCCACAAAAGCGCGTGAAAAATAAACTCTGGAAAATTACAAGTTCTCTCTGCTTTATTACGATTTCATGTGCAACCACAGCAAAGGAAAATATGTAAAGAAGTAGAAAAAATGTTGTGATTATATTCCACACCATTTTTCGCTTTTTATCAATTTTTTACATGCATACAATACGTTCATTTTGGACTATTTTTCATGCAATGCATAAATTCGAATTGCTCTTGGTAATTAAATTCGAATGTGGAATTGAATCGAAAACCGCACAGTCCGAACTGATAGCGAGCTTTGGTGAAAATTTCTGTTTTTCAAATTAAATATTTGTGAATCACTTCAATTAGTTTTACAGTTCAAGCATTGGTGAACATTATTAGCGTGTTTAATATTCTGCGAAACCTGCCAATATCAATATCCCCAGTGGCAGTTCGACTAGGTTAATGAAGTTATTTATTAACAAATATGAATGTTGATCATAAGGTGTTTTGTGTTTCAATTAAGCGAACTTCTGAAACAATATTAATTATTTTATATTGTACTCAGTACAAAGAAGAGGAAAAATGTTGAAGAAGAATTTTTCACGTAGCTTTTATTCAAAATTCAGTGAGAAATTCCATTTAACCTATTCAGACAAACTGCAATGCACGTTGGCTTAAAACATGGAATAAGAAATTATATTGTCGTTGTTTCATTTCTTTTCTCTTATATTGTGAATTCAGGATTAGATGGAAACGACAAACATTGCATCTAGTCTAACAATTTTGAAAACACACCGTACATACAGAAAGAAAATTTGAAACTTGCAACTTTAAACCGATGCGATGAAAAAAAAACAATTTAATCCTTGCGATACTCAAACGT